TCTGGAATGGTCTTCTTTCCGATATTAGGAAGCCACTGAAGGTATGCACTTTTAAATTTGGATTGATAACTCATTTATTTTAAATGCCTTTTGTGTTTAGCTTGTTAACCTTCCCCCGCACCTCCGATTAACACGATTGTCTACGTACCGTGTGAAAGAAGTTCAGCATAAATGCATACGTGCCAATGTCGAGATATGCTGCCCACGATGAGAGGGCTTCAGCGGAGAGAGAATTCGTGTCGTATTGCTGTTCCTCCTTCTCCGTTGAAGAAGCACATATTACAGTGGTTTACTATATGGTCCACAGTTTGGGTTTCATGACCACAATCGTACTCTTTATTGTCTTTAATTTTCCAATGATAAATGAGATATGCGCATCAGCCTGTTGATGTTTTAATGCGGTTGATGGTTCCACCAGCGTCTTCGAAGAACGTATCACTTGGATGCCCTTTTTCCATCTCACGAGATTCTCCCAGTGAAACATTTTACTAAATGCAGTAAACATTGCAGATGAGTGATGCCCTCACCCAACGCGGCACTGGCGAGATGGCACGGACTCGGGACCAACTGCAGCGGCATAAAGCAGCAGCAGTGCAGCGTGAGACACTGAACTCGAACGGAAAACACCGAGGCTGTGCCTACCTCTCGTTACAGCCAAAGTGGAGTCGCAACAATCTTTCGATTGCTCAGTAACCGATTGCATTACAAGGAGATGCAAGGGAATGCATTTATCTAGTATTGACTGTTGCCGTGATGGATAAGTATCGTCAATGATGGCGAAAATGCATTAGCCCACTATTGGCTCTCACGGCAAAAAATTTGGTTAAAGAACTCGAGAACCGAATTGGACTTTGAATCGTTTTGGTGCTCGTGGCTTGAACACGGGTGGTGACATTCCATGCCCACGCCCGAGTTCATCACGAAGTGGCGCGTGTGAGGGTTACCTTACAGACTGTACGCCGTGAGATTAAAACCGAATAATCATAAAAATGATCGTGAAACGTGAACCCAAAAACATCAATGCTTGATCACAGCACCATCTCGCTTCATTTAATCGTTTGATCCCGCTCCAGCTTTAACACAAATACAGACAAAACGACAAAGATCCCCCATATATCCTTAATAGACTTTCGGTACAAGTGCTGTGAGTGAACACCTATGAAGGCCAGCACGGCACACGAGAGGGTGGGTGACCAGCACCAAGCCAGGCCGCATTGGTCTCCCCAGTGGCGATGTTTACACATCGCGCCAGGTACTCATTTGGGGCTGAGTCTACCTAGGGAAGATCCAGGACCGATTCATATAATCGTCACTGGTGTTCGCCGTGAGCGGGAATCAAACTCGAGTAGGGGAGTGAAGGGGGGGGGGGGTTCAGGGGTGAGTGATGTGGGGGGGGTAACGTACGGTGCGAAATAAGTTAAAATACATAGTGAAGGGGAGTGGAGGAGGGAGTTACAGTGAGGGAAAAAAGTATTTGGTCCCCTGCTGATTTTGTACGTTTGCCCACTGACAAAGAAATGATCAGTCTATAATTTTAATGGTAGCTTTATTTGAACAGTGAGAGACAGAATAACAACAACAAAATCCAGAAAAACGCATGTCAAAAATGTTATAAATGTATTTGCATTTTAATGAGGGAAATAAGTATTTGACCCCTCTGCAAAACATGACTTAGTACTTGGTGGCAAAACCCTTGTTGGCAATCACAGAGGTCAGACGTTTCTTGTAGTTGGCCACCAGGTTTGCACACATCTCAGGAGGGATTTTGTCCCACTCCTCTTTGCAGATCTTCTCCAAGTCATTAAGGTTTCGAGGCTGACGTTTGGCAACTCGAACCTTCAGCTCCCTCCACAGATTTTCTATGGGATTAAGGTCTGGAGAGACTGGCTAGGCCACTCCAGGACCTTAATGTGCTTCTTCTTGAGCCACTCCTTTGTTGCCTTGGCCGTGTGTTTTTGGGTCATTGTCATGCTGGAATACCCATCCACGACCCATTTTCAATGCCCTGGCTGAAGGAAGGAGGTTCTCACCCAAGATTTGACGGTACATGGCCCCGTCCATCGTCCCTTTGATGCGGTGAAGTTGTCCTGTCCCCTTAGCAGAAAAACACCCCCAAAGCATAATGTTTCCACCTCCATGTTTGATGGTGTTCTTGGGGTCATAGGCAGCATTCCTCCTCCTCCAAACACGGCGAGTTGAGTTGATGCCAAAGAGCTCCATTTTGGTCTCATCTGACCACAACACTTTCACCCAGTTGTCCTCTGAATCATTCAGATGTTCATTGGCAAACTTCAGACGGGCATGTATATGTGCTTTCTTGAGCAGGGGGACCTTGCGGGCACTGCAGGATTTCAGTCCTTCAAAGCGTAGTGTGTTACCAATTGTTTTCTTGGTGACTATGGTCCCAGCTGCCTTGAGATCATTGACAAGATCCTCCGGTGTAGTTCTGGGCTGATTCCTCACCGTTCTCATGATCATTGCAACTCCACGAGGTGAGATCTTGCATGGAGCCCCAGGCCGAATAATCCCACCAACTGTTGTCACCTTCTCACCAAGCTGCTTGTCAATGGTCTTGTAGCCCATTCTAGCCTTTTGTAGGTCTACAATCTTGTCCCTGACATCCTTGGAGAGCTCTTTGGTCTTGGCCATGGTGGGGAGTTTGGAATCTGAGTGATTGATTGCTTCTGTGGACAGGTGTCTTTTATACAGGTAACAAGCTGAGATTAGGAGCACTTCCTTTAAGAGTGTGCTCCTAATCTCAGCTCGTTACCTGTATAAAAGACACCTGGGAGCCAGAAATCTTTCTGATTGAGAGGGGGTCAAATACTTGTTTCCCTAATTAAAATGCAAATCAATTTATAACATTTTTGACATGTGTTTTTCCGGATTTTTTGTTGTTATTCTGTCTCTCACTGTTCAAATAAACCTACCATTAAAATTAAAGACTGATCATTTCTTTGTCAGTGGGCAAACGTACAACATCAGCAGGGGATCAAATACTTTTTTCCCTCACTGTAAGTGGGAAGTGAAGTGGTGGAGGAGGGGGGGAAGGTAAGTGAAGGGGCGGTGGAGGGTGGGGGAGTGATGTGGGGAGTGAAGAGGGGAAGTGCAGTGGGGGGCGGAGGGGGTGAGCGCCACTCACCACACAGAGCCCGGCCCTGCTGTGTCAGCGTCTGCCTCCGGCGCCAACCGTTGCACTCGCCACAGCACCCTCCCATGACCAGCTTGAGCCCCGCGCCCCCCAAGCTATTGGTGGTTGGCGGCGGCAGTGTTTTTCACTGGAGCCTTGTACTCGAAGCCAGGCTGCGCGACCCCTGATGTTCGAGGGAGCTTACTGTGCCCGTGGCCGGAACAGCATCGACAGGACTCGAGGAGAGCAATCTCACGCGGCTCCAATTACCATGGGGGCGGTCAGCGCTTCACACAAACTCGCGTTCAGATCCGCGCAAAGCACCCACAGAGTTAACCCGACGAGGACAGTGACGATGAGAGAGTGATAAGTGACGAGGCGCGACAGAGTGCGATAAGAAGCGCCCGCTCCATGCTCCTAACACCGCGCGGGAGAGGCGGCACTGAGCGGTTTCGAGCGCCACCCGGTGGCTGAGCTGCACACGCGCACCTGGGCACGGGCACCTGGGCACGGGGGGCACCTCACGGGGACAGTGACCGGGGATAGTGATCGAAGAACTGCTGCCCTTTTGATATAAACTTCACTGTCTTTGCAAAGGTAACAACATCGAGGAAATGCACGCTCCTCGTTGATGCTCAATTTGTACGCAATGTTGGCGGTGCTTAATTGGGCCATCGTCGTTCTTCCGCACTTACGTGTCCATGGGGGACGTAAATACCTTCTGCACCATATCCCTCCCCCCACCCTCAATCGCACAAATGTCAGCAAAACCTATGTGCACAAATCGCCAACGGCGTGAAGCTATCGATGACAATCGCTGTGCTGACCATGATGTGACTGCTTGTGAATTGCGATGCACCGCACCGAACGTGCTGCTCTGTGGAACCTGTCTACTAGAAATGTTCACTCCACCCACTCTTCCTGCACCTACGTACGCCCTAAGCCACCACCAAGTGGGACTCCAAACCCAGCACTGCCAGGAATGGGTGATGAGTGGTTCTTACCGAGGGGTTCATTTGAGCCGACTTTTTCTGGGTAGGCGACCCGTAACATAATTCCGCACCTGCACGCCGCATCCAGTATACCCCTCGCTATGGCTGTGGCGAGTCGTGTGCCACCTCCTGGTCAACCAGCAACAGCAAACATGTATAAATCAATCCCAGGTATGTACTGATTACTGTACTGGTGACTGATTACCGATACTCCGTCACACATGAGCTCTGTGTTGCCGAGTTCTCAAATCATCTCAAGTTCCTCCAAAAAATCCCCCCCCAGCCCCCTCTGACCCTGGTCCCTCTCTATCTTCCCCCCCCCCAATCCAGTTTTTGACCATAGCCCCCCTGACTGATTCTGTGCCCCCCTCTCTCTGACGCCGCTGTGGCTCACGGCCCACAGCCCGGTGTGAGTGGCGCCGCGATCACGTGGTGCGCGTGGAGCTGTCCAGCGGCTTCAGCAGCCGCGCGAATCAACACAACGCGGGGGGGGGGGGGCATCAGCGAAAAATAACACGGCACGAAATAGCCACAACAGCAAACAATAAAAGCACAAAATACTAGAGCAACGAGGTCTGATAAAACAGAGACAAATAATACACCACAATTCCACAATTAGAGCCACGCGCCTAGCAGTAAACCCACTGTAAGGGTCCCGGCGGCCATGGGGCCCCCAGCCGAGCCCCCGAGCCCTCTTGCCACAGCGCAGGGGAACGGCCTCGTCTTGGGGGGGGGGGGGGGGGGGGGCACTCGGGGCCCACGGGGCCGGGGTAGCGGCAACAGCAGCGGCAGCGACCTCCTCCTTCCTCTCATCGCAGCAGCAGCAGCACAGGAACATGGCGGCCGCGTCTCTCTGACTGTCGTCGCTCCCTCCTCACCTCAGCATTTGTTGCTCCTTCTCCTCCTCGTCTCGCTGTCGCGCAACCACGGCCATGATGATGTTGCGCTCCTCCTCCGTGAGATGGCTGAGGTCCGGGACCCCGGGAGGGCGTTGCGGCCCCGCGGGCCCAAGCGGAGGCTCCATATCCGCGCCGCCGCCGCCGCCTCCACCCCCACCTCTCAGGACGCGATCCCGGCGCGGCCCCGGGCGCCGCCGCAGTGGCGGCCCGGCCGAGCCGGGGTTTCCCCGGGACGGGAGGCCTGCCGCGCCATCGAGCAAAGCCGCCGAGAGCGGCCCTCTGGTAGACAGCGCCTCCACTGATACAGATCCAACACAGAGCTCCAAACAGCACACACAGCACTCGCAGCCAAACAGCGCCTCCACCGACTCACACACCGACCCCTCGCAGCACTCACAGCCAAACAGCGCCTCCACCGACTCACACACAGCGCACACAGCAGCTCCTGCGCTCGTGCAAAGCAGGATAAGCACAGCTCACACGGAATAAGAGCAGAGGCAAGGACCCAGAGTATATAGCATTGAACATGCTCTTGGGGGAAGTGCTGTTAATACCGACACGGCACAAGAGGTGGTGGGTGGCCAACACCACGCCCATCCGCCTTTGTCTCCCTAGTGGCGATGTTCACACATCGCACCAGGTACTCACTTAAGGCTGAGCCGACCTCGCGAAGTTCTAGGACCGATTCAGATAATCGTCACTGTGTTGGCCGTGAGCGGGAATTGAACTTGGGTAGGCCGGGTTTGAAGTGCAGTGCACTAACCATGGCGCCACCGCTCCCCACTAGCGAAACAGCGCCTCTACCGACACACGCGCTGCGCAGTGCGCACAGCACAGAGTACCACAGCCCAGTCACACAGAACTCAGGCCCCGTTTAGGCCAACGTCAAATTTAATTCCTGTCGAGGAGGTTGTTCCCTCCACCGCTGGACGGAGCCATGTTCGCTTCACCACTGGACAAAGCGGATACAACTCTGGTGGTGCAACTTAAACAACTTCATTCTACAAAATACATGTAAATTTCAGGGTTTTTTTCAGTTTATTTATTTTGGTGTAGCCCTGTGAGCCATTCGGCTCTTGAATCGGGTGCAACCACAACAAACAAAAAAACAAAAACACGAACAAGAAAACATCTTAAAGTGACTATGTGACTGTGCAAACAGAAAATCCATGAAAAAAACAGCATAATATTCCTGAAAAAAGCACCGTACACCAACGCTTTGTGCAAAAAATCCCAGTGGGATGCAAGTCAAACAACAACAACCACAAGAAAACTTTGATTAAGGTCATTAGTCTAACTCCGTACTACAATAAAACAAACATGTCCAAACCAAAAAATGTTTTCGAAATCACCAAAAAATAAAGCCATAATTGCAACGTAATAGTGATTATAGGGACTGTGACCGAATTTTTTACAATAAACTACATAAATAACATGTAACACCAAATCCTAGTGCCATAGCTGGCTGCATGAGTTACTCCACAAATTACAAAACTGTATCCACCCATGAACGTGTGCATCTAGTTTTACCATTTAAAAAATATGTGACAGACTTTGTTTCATGTTAATAGCTGCTTGTGAATGACTACGTAAGTCGCGTAAACTATAGCAATGATATAGGTCAAGAAAGCTGACGTCAAAAAACCCCTAAATTTCCAATCACGCTCCACTCCATCCTCCAAAAATTATGGGCCCAATATGTGTACACGTTTTACAAATTGAACTTAGAGATACCAAAGATAACAAGGTAAATGAAAACGATAAATTAAAATGCTATTTGAATTGACGAAAGGTATTGTAAATATTCAAAGTAACATAAACAGTCATCACTTTTGATTTAAAGCTTTCGTGACTGCAGTAATTCATATTCTTAGTTCTTTCGGTAAAGTCACGTTATATATTTTATTATTTTTTTGTTTCCCTTCAGCGTGACTTTACCGAAAGAACTAAGAATAGTCATCACTTTATCAATGCACTGCTGTATAAAGGCCTCCCCACGCCATATCCTTGATGGAAACTGTTTGACCATCCGCCACCACGCTGGTCAGCGCATAGGACCGGTTCAGATATCACCACGGATGTCACAGTGGCCTGGAATCGACAGGCGAGGTACATATCAAAATGCGCTGACCAATTTGCTACGGCTCATAAATTAATCATGCAATCAGGAACATGAGAGAAAGAAATGGTTGGAAAACAAAGAAAAGTAAAATGCGATTTAATAATCCACCTAGCCTCAGCACAAGCTGATTTCATCGCTCCATCTCCTCGGGGTCATATATTCCCTGACTGCCACGCCACGATTATTCGTCACTATAGACCATTATCACTTGTAGCGACATGCCCTGCCAAAGGCCGCTGTTCATACGTTTGAATGCCTTTAAACTGCGTACGCCCACCCATGTGTTCCTCTCTGTCTCTCATTGGAAATTAAAGGAAAGCTGAAAAGTACGCATCTCTCCATGCTCCTTTGCATACCTTTCAGCTTTAATTAAATTCTTGTTTGTGAATGACCATATTCCTGGAGACGCTGGAGGCAGATATAATGGTATATGATGTCAAAAGCATCATAAATATCCAGAACTAGGAGAGTTATTTATCTACGGTCTGAGGTAATTTACCACACGTAGGAGCAGTCTAAACAGAATGGCCTTGTGGAAACCAGATTGTGCTGGATCATGGAGTCCATACAGAGCAAGGGGTTTACAGAGATTGTAGTTCATTACCCTTTTTAGGGCTTTCCAATAAGAGGGAGGTTTGAGATAGGGTGCACATTTTCTGTGATATTTGGGGTCCAAAATTGGTCCTTTTTCAGGATGGGAGCGACATCAGCAGCATCATTGAGCTAAAGAAATGGTCTCAGATGAAATTGAGACTGCCATCTAGTAAGAGGCAGAGCGAGTGGACAGTGGCATATTAGGTTAGTGTGCAGAGGATATAGGATGGAAAACCCTGAGGTTAAACATTGTTGTTGTTCATTGGGACAAGCTGAGGGATGTCAATGTCAAGGGTAGGAAGTATGGAGATAGGACGGACAATTTTAAGAGCAGAGTCAGACACCAGGATGCCATTCATTATTTTCTCGACCTTATGAAAGGCGAGTTCGTCCGTCTCCAGAAGTGTACCCGTGACCTGTGAGCTTTTCCCCCTGCTGGGCTAGCACGGTACTGTCAGGGGATACCCCGAGCCAGGTGGCATCTCAACCCCCATCACCTCCAGAGACCAAGTCGGTCCTGCACGGTGGTGCAGTGGACAAAACAGTACATCACAACACATTCACGTTTAAAGCTCTGCACGTGCAGAATAAAGGTTTTGAGACGAAAAGCCACGCGCAGACAGTTTTAAGCTCAATATTTATTTCATACTCTAATGCTCTTTGTTGCTTCCCAACCGCATAACATTTTCTTAAGTGAAGCCCAGCGATGGGAAGACAACACGTGAAGACTGTGGAGATGGCGTGACACGGGCCACAATACAACAACCTGTACAGCATAGCTAAGGCACAATCTGCACAACGCCGGCCACTCGCTCGTCGAACCACAGACTCCAATGGGGTCGCCCTGGCCTTTGGCAAATATCGAAACCGAATAAGGCACCGAGTTCACACTCTGTAGTGCCCTACTCCTCACCACATTAACTTGACACGGATGTACGTTCTTAGATAAAAAGGGGTTTACCTCCCACAGTGCTAATAAAATGGTCGCTAAATGCACCCAAGTACAAACTGGCGACGCACACACGTCGCAACACACAGTGGGGAGTAAGAGCAGAGCTTCCACACAGCCCATTCACACAGGCCGCGCTTATGAGATGCAAGACACAAACAGGTTGTGCAGTATCAACTGCGGAACCTACTGGACAGCCGCACCTGCGTTACATAACGTACTTTGGAAGTCTGGAAAATGGGGCTGGTCACATAGAAACACTTGCTTAGATGTTTCCTTTAATTTGGCAACGAAAGAGGTATGAGTGTAAAGAAAATAACATCAGATATTTTATGCAACCAGCCCCAGAAATTTATCAGGAATATTTTAAACTTCGTCGCCTCCAACCATCCTCGTATTGATAAAACCCACGACACAGTAAAAGCGTCGCCAGTGTTGAAATGTAAAACAGCATCTTTAGTCTCAATGGCTTCAGAGCTGGAGCTGGCAAGCGAGCTGGTGCACACACCAATATTCTAATGTAAAGCTGCAAATAGCAAAAAGTTAATCGCTTTTAGTTTTCAAGCAAGCCAGAAAGTTTTTAATCAATTGGAAACCTGTTCAGAAACGAAAATACTTAAGACATTTTCCTCTTAAGCTTCATGCACATGGGGTTATCAAGGGTTAATACAACATACTACAGTAACAGGCATTTGCGATGGGTATTCATTTCAATGTGCATGTATTTGAAGAAAATAACTGTCTTATGTAGCTCATATGGCAATTTATGAAAGGTACTTTGAAAATAAGCACGTGGCATATTCTACACAGCAATATGGCAGCTATACTGGTGCATGCACATCACGATCTCATACTCTGCCACTGTTTTGCAAGTGATGGCAGCCACATGGCACATTTGACACAGCAAAAGAGCTCACGCGAGTTGCGGTAAGGCACGGGCGGCTACAGGCACCACTTGAACACACGAGCCATGTCTCACGCTGATGCGTGGAGACCATTTGCCTGGACTCCCATCTGTTTGTCACCAAGTGTGCCTGGCAGCAGGAGTGAATGTGTGTGCGCATCTGTGGGGTATTCTCACGGTGGCACTCGTTTATCCACACCAACTTTGGCACTTGCGATTTCCATGCAGGCATGTAAGTGGGCATATGCACGTGTACCATACTCGTGTATGTTGGAGTACAAGCGTAGGTGTGTGTCACGTTGAGCAAGTATTTGCGTACGTATGCGGATAAGCGCGAGCTTTGTTTTTGTACAGCCATGCACGTCTCACAGTGGGACTTTCTCTTCAGGGTCAGGCTTGGCACTGGCACTTGCCGTGGAGCTCAGAACTTCTTCAAAACTTCCGGATCGGCGCGTGGAAACACGGGTCTGTGTGCGCACGCAGCATACAGTACAACGACACTAAGCCATGACATTGTTGTGCTGTGCATCTCGTACTGACAGAGCAAACAAATGCGACTCTCGTGAAACAATGTGCACGTGGCCGCATCACGTGGGCTCACCTTCAAGCCGGTCACGGTGCTTCCCACTCGTTCCTCGAAAGATTTGAAAGTAGGAGAGTTCCTGGAGAAACCAAGACCATTACCATCATACCAATATAAATTTTTGATTTAAAGCTTTCGTGACTGCAGGGATTCGTATTATTGGTTCTTTCGGTAAAGTCACGTAGAAGGGAAACAATAAAATAATAAAAATATAAAACAATAAAATATAAAATAAATTTTAATTTATATATATCAATATATACACCGTATCTAAGCATATGCAGAGACCTAAAACGTTAAGTAAACAGCAACAAACAGCAAAGTTGTAATAAAGTTAACATGTGTTTAACTGAGTAAGGTTATATAAGGGCTAATTTCTTTAAAACTGCTGTTTGTGTTTAATTTCACCCCTTGGCTTTCGCGACCAATATCATCCATAATAGTTTTTTTTTAGTTAGATCGCTTAAATGTGTCGTTAAACCCGCCACTACCCGACACAGCCAATTAGTAAGGTTTTTCATGTAAACAGAACATGCCAATTCATTACTAGTACAGCACACCGGTGTGTTGGAGAGCAAATCCACATTTACAATCTGAGTACGACGTTTTGCCAGGAATTACCACTAGCTTCATCAGGCGACAGCCATATTTGTGGAGAAATCCTGTTTTAATCCTTAAAGGGGGGGGGGGGGGATTAATACATTTATATAAATTACAATGGGTATCTATTGCCGGTTGGGTTATTAATATGGTAATCAACATATTATTTGGGTCTTTCGGTACAGCCACGTAGATAGATCAAATAATACAAAATTATGAAATAAAAAAAACAATATGTTAATCAACGTACATTATGCATGCACATTATACATGCACATTTTTATTGTACCTCCTATTATTTGCATGCAATAAAATAGCAGTACCTGTTATTGTCTGCGTACAGGTGTAGTGTGAAATACAAAGGCGCACACACTATACTTGGAGGCAACACGTTTAATAAACAACCTACTTAAACACTCCGAGTTCTATAGCTAGGTGTGGCTATACTGTTCGCTGTGTGCGTGTCAGTTAACTGAACCAACGGGCCAGTCAGCATACACGCTGCCTGACCCACGATCCCCAGCTAAGACTTCACGGCGAACGAGGAGCGAAGAGCGACGACTTCTCAAGTTGATCCCCACAAACGAGCCCCGATCCCTCTCGGGGCTCCCCCTTTATTGGCCCCGATCCGCCCTCGGCCACGCCCCCTGCGGTATCAACTCAGGAGCTCCAGGTCACGTGTCCCTCAAGCCTCCTATGGAGATTCCCGGCGGTCAGCGGCACTCCCGAATTAGTGGCTGGCGCTAACAGTGCAGTGACCCTATTTGTGTCACTACACAGGTAATCCCCGTTGATGTCTGGTTACCTGTATAGGCATGCACTTAAACAATGTATTATTTGATGATTCGCTTCCAAGCAGCGCTAAGCCTGTAGCTATCCGAAAGGCTCAGAAGTGAAAATAATTGACGCGACGGGAACAGACAGGGTCACGTAAGGCTAGGATGGGACCTAAGGGGTCGTAAATTATAATTGAGACAGGGACAGACAGGGCCAGATGAGGTGAGAGATAGTTCGGGGAAAAGGGGCGTGGCCGGGTTCGAGAGGGGGATAAAAGCCAGTGTGGAGCAGGGCTCTGGGCTGCTGTGGGGGAATAAAGAAACCGTCATCGCCATCGTCATCTTGGAGCGGGTCATCTTCATCATCTTGGATCGGGGCACCTTATAGTCTTGGAAGGCTAGAGTTACATATTGTCTCCGTGACTGCTACACGTCCGCTCCTATGTAGTCAGCCAACTACATGCGGAGTGTCGCGTAGAGTCACAGAAGTAATCCAGCTGTATATAGTCAACCTGTGGTTATCCGTTAAAATATCAGTGAGTCGGCGGACTTTATTCATAAATAAATGAACAAGACGGTGTCTCTGAGAGCTTCATTACACTAGTAACGAATTGGCATGTTTTTTTACATGACAAACCTTACTAATTGGATGTGTATAGTGGTTGGGGGTTTCACGACACATTTAGATTTATGCGATCTAACCCAAAAAACCTATATTATCTTTGTGTTCAGTTTGATGTACTTCCCCGCACCTCCAGTGAGCATACTTGGCTACATACGGTGTGAAATAAGTTCAACATACTTACATGCAGCTCGGAACAACAGATGATGGGAGGGAATTAAAAGTTGAGCAGTGTGAGAGAAGGAACAAAAATACAAGTCTTGTGACCTACATACATGGTGTGTGGTGGATGAGACAAAATGACCAGTGTCTGGTAGACTGAGTCCTTAACGTGGGTAAAGGAATCAAGGAGTAACGTTCAGAGGAACAGCAAACATGGTCGTAGAGATAGAAGAATAAGGAGGCACCTAACTGGAGTGAATCGGTAAGTGCTGGATCATCACTCTTGACTGCTTTACGCTCAGATTCGATCAAGCGTAGTGAAGTAGGAACTGGGTGTTGCACCCCAGATATGACAACATAATTCCAACTCTGGCAGAAGTAAGATAATAATATGCAGTTCAAATGCTACTCTGGCCAATAAAAATTGTAAACGCAAGGTGCAGTGAATCACTGATGAGAACACAATGCTGTAGCACCTTCGTAATACTGCTTCCATCACGGAGGCACCAAAGGGACAACAGCAGCCTGCAACACAGGGTGGATGGGGCGACTGCTGGACCAGGCCACCTGATTCACAGCTCGTGATCAGTTTTCGCTGTTGAAGAAGCTTTTGTCACAAATCATGGTACCCTGGAATTTTTGCCACTAATAATTACTTAACGATTGTTAATTACAGGAAATATTGAAATAGTTTATTATTACTCTGCTGTGCTGGTTATAATAGTGTATGTATATCTAACTTCTTTCGCACTGTACATAGCCAACCGTGCTCAACGGAGGTGCAGTGTAAAGTTGAAAGGAACTTGGACTTCTTGCTCAAAACAGCATCGAGGCAGTGCACATCTGTTTACAGCCTCCAGTGATGGAAACTCCATATTTCTATGACAGGGGTGAGCCTATCCATAGGACTACTGATGACACTTTTTTTATTGGCCACACAGGAATAATGGGCTGAGTAAACACCCCCAATCAGGAATTGGCTTCGTAACCTTCAGATTGCGAGCCGCTCGCTCTACCGCTGGGCCACCTGGCCCGTAATTCACAGGCATGCAGCTCCTATCATCATTCTTATTATTATTACTACCACTGCACTCAAATTAATTCAGTTCCATTCTGATAAAGAAATGCACAAACACTTAGAGATGACATCTCATAAAACGGACCCTGCAGTGAACTCCAGAACATAGATGCCATGACAGCCACTTGCTGTAACGGTGTAAAGTTAATTGGAGTGATGCTATATTTTAAAATCGCGCCAACCATGAAAAGTGCATTTCTACAACACTTAGGATTTATAATGTGCAGTTTTCATATGGAGGTGCAGGGAACCCAGACAAGCGGGAAGGCCATAGTAACCGGCACCAACAATTGTCCAGGCTCTGTGATTCTATATTAGGATGTTTGGCCAACTCCATAAACGAGTGTTTATGTGTTGAAAGGAACGAATCGCTCACTTGACGTCGCCCAACGTGCGGCTCAGCACCGAGCCCACGGAAGAGATGGCTGCCGTCGTCTTCTGGCCAGCGTGCACCAGCGTCTCCGAGGTTTTCTTGTAACTGCATGGAAGGCACGAGTTTACGAGGGACGGCCACAGTCCAACACATCAGCCGACGCGTTTCTCTTGTAAAGGCAGGTATTAATGAGTCATGATAGTGGAGTTGTAGTAACGCTTGTGCCTTGCAGCAAGAAGTTCCTGGGACCACTTCAGGCAACTTTCTGCGTTAAATTTGTATGTTCGCGCCTGTTGTGCACCAGTTTCTTCCAGCTGCTCCGGTTTACTCCCATAGCGAAACACATTCAATGTAACTGGAATTGGCCACAGATCCCAAGGCTGAAAATTATCTGCAAATTACTTAATTGGGATTGCACACAGCAGTAACATTTCCCCCAACTGCGACAACTTGACAGGACCCTCCTAAAAAAGTGTTCAAACTCTGAGGCTCAGGGAAACAAGCATCACAACGATCATTATTAATGAAAATTGTCAATTTAACCATAATTAAATCGCACTAAAACTATCAGATAGCATGGACTAAGTTTATGTAGCGCATACAAAAAGTTTTTCATCCAGAAAAACACAATACACATCCACTATCTAGTGCCAATCCACGAGTGAATGCGCAGCTGGGATAGTACAGTAACGCACATGCAGGACCACGCAGACCCCAAAAACCTCAGCCTGTATCCTGTGCGACAGCATCCAAAGTAATAAGCACATACGCAGATGAAGATGTCACGTCTTGCCACCCCTTGCTCAGGTTTGCCTTCAGTTCCGTGATGGTTCCGATCCCCAGCTTTTGCTTGATCTCAGCCAGGTGATGCTCCTTCGCTGCAAGAACCTGCTTCAATGTGGCTATCTCCTCCTCCACCTGTGCATGTGCACACACACACAATGCACGAGCTCGCACCCCTATAAATCACAAGATATTCCTTTCCATTTTGACTTAAAACTTTCGTGACTGCAAGAATTCATATTCTTCGATTCTTTCTGTAAAGTCACGTAGATAGAATAATAATAAAAATGAAGTGAATAAAAATAAAAAATATATATTTTTTACAAAGTAATAAAATAAGCTAAAACCACTAATGTAGACTGTAGCCTGGTTCTTAATCTGAGTGAGTGTACTGGCAGTCGATAATGTAGCCTGGTTATTAAGTTTGGTGAGTGTACTGGCAGTCTAATGTAGACTGTAGCAATGGTGATTAAACTGAGTGCGCGTACTGGCAGTCTATAATGTAGACTAGCCTGCTTCTTAACATGAGGGAGCATACTGGCAGTCTATAATGTAGGCTTACTCTTTGGTTCTTTCGGTAAAATAATAAAAATAAAATAAAATTAGAAAAATAAAAAGCAAAAACCACGTTTCAGGAGGAAAGAGGGGGAAGGTCACCGAAGGCAACCGTTTTTAAAGGTTTCAAAAAAGTGGGCGTGGCACAAGAGCTCCGACGGTGGAAGCATGGAACACGAAGTGCCAACAAAACGTCCTGGTGTCAGAACGAAAGTGGGCGGGGCATATGTGCCCTGGGGTAAGGTAAAAATAAAACACAAATCAAGTCATAACTTGACCTGTGCTCCCTTGACAAGAGAATTCAAATCAAGTCATGACCCCAAGTGGTTGATGACATCTTTCCAATGATAGCTGAGTTTGTACACATCTTCTCGGTTGAAATTGTCTGAATATATTATAGACTGCCAGTACACTCACCGAGGATAAGAACCAGGCTACAGCCTACATTACAGACTGCCAATACACTCACCAAACTTAATAACCAGGCTACAATCTACATTATAGACTGCCAGTACACTCACTCAGATTAAGAACCCGGCTGCAGTCTACATTAGTGGTTTTTGGTTTTTATTTATTTTTTATTACATTTTTTATTTTATTTTATTCACTTCATTTTTATTATACTTTTTCTACCTACATGATTTTACTGAAAGAACCAAAGAATATGTATTCATTTCCATGAGTGTCTTTTCGTTACCTGCCATAAACTGTGAGCACTGTCATTGGCAAACACACTTCACATTTTTGTTTATACAGCTAATAAAACATTGTGACTTTGAGTGAACCACGAAAACGAGTCTTACGAGGACACTGTCTCTGCACGAATAAAAACAGAAAAAAAAGAGCAGGCTGCCGGGCCAGTGTGCGTGCACATACCTTAGCCAGCTCTTCACGCAGCTCTTCCGTTTCCACATCTGACAGAGCCGAGCTGCTGAGGGTTGGGTCTTCCCTGGCCATGCCAGCCCCGGCTTGCCCTGTCGTGCCACTCCGGAAGTCTGCATTGGGTTGGTCACTGCCCAGAAAACCTGTACACATCAAATGGCCATCTACTACAGAGGCACAATAGTATCTTGTCTGCATGAACCTATATGTATGGTTTCAAGTAGATTTCTTATTAACAATGAGAACTAGAGAGTCCAAGGTAGCCTCATTTTCAAGAGTGACCCGTCACCAAAATGACAAAAGGAATAACATGAAACAAAGTACAGCAATGAGGTATATAGAAATCTAAAAAACATACAAATAGAAATCAGAGCAAGGAACTACTAAATAGGAATCAGCTTAAAAATAACTGCATGATAGAAACAAAATCATATAGTGCACAAACATAAATTAATATTACATTCACATATTCACATTTCCTGCAACAAAATATGTCCTGGACAATTTGCTTTTTATCTGTAGCTGAATAGAGGTACATTACTGCTGACATGCAGCAGTGATGGGGTGCTGCCCGGCTGAGGGAAGCAATGGGAACAGCTTTACCCTGGGTGAGAGACGGGGACCCCGGTGGAGAGTCCCCATCAGTGGGGGCCAAGTGCAGGTACTTGATGCTCACGCCTGCACTGAAGTCAAATGGGGAGCGGTAATCTTCTGGACTGTCCTCAGCCTCCTCACCCAGACGACTCCTCTCACCTATCTTCCCACTCATGGCCTCAAACACCCACCGACACCTTCGTTAAATCTGACAGCCACGGTGATTAATCCAGATATGTAAGGAGGGAGCTACTTAAACTGCACCGATGATAATGACTGATGGCGACAAGACCACAGATTAGCAATTCTTATTTAATGACGGCTCATTCTGGGAAGCTACCACAGCGACACAGCTGAGAACTAATCTCCGTGAAGCAACGTGTGATCACGCAGGAGGGATTAAGGGTGTGCTTTACAAGCCTGAGTGTGCCACGTCTCAAAGGTCACTCGTCACAGGGTAGAAAATCAATTAACTCCACCTATACAGCCACCATCCAATGTTGACACAGCACCCACAAGGCACGGGTACATTGCATGTCCATTATCTGTCCATCAGTCCGTACCACAGGCCTCCCAAGGATAGCGTGCATGTTATATATCAGTATGTGATACCTCCATGGCATAACAATGACATACAATATAAATCACTACAGTGATACATGTCATTCGCACGTCATACCTGCGGGGCATTACACTAAACAAGCATTGTATTACATGATTATTAGCATACAACTCACACAAGCAGCAGTCAGTGAACCACACTGAATACACATCATTAACAGAGATGCTGAAATGGATTTCAGTGATGTCATATGAACGAGCTATTGTGGTGATAGAGGATTGATCAGTGAGGTGAGATGATGCAATGGAAGTGATTAGATGGCAGTGCGATGAGGTGGGTGAGATAAAATATAGTATCGGATCTGATGAGGTGGGAATGAGATGAGTGAGATTAATTATGTGGAGTGATGCGATGGATGATGATGTGGGCGACAACAATTATGGTAGTGGGTGTACCGAGGTGGGAATGAGATGAGTGAGATTAAAGTGGGAGTGATACAGTGGGAGATGAGGTGGATGATATTTGGCGGGTGGGATGAATTGTGTGGTATGAGTGATGAGGTGGGAGTTACTTGCAGGTGAGATGAAGTATAAGGTGGGTGTTTTTATGTGAAAGAGTGAGATGAGGTGGGAAAAGATATACTGGTTGATCAGGTGGAAGTGACAATAGGCGGTTGAGATCAATTATGGGGCGAGTACATTTTGATTTAAAGCTTTCGTGACTGCAGGGATTCATATTCTTGGTACTTTCGGTAAAGTCACGATATGAGATGGGGGAAGAGGTAGGGGAGGTTAATAATTAAGTGGTAGTGAGATATGGTGGACGAAATTGAGCGAGTTATGGGTGATTGGGTTGGAGTGCGATGAGATGGGCCAGACGAATTATGGGGTGGCATTGATAAGGTGGTGGTGGTGATCCATATGGGAATTGCCCGTCGTCCGTTCAAACACGTGAATGCTAATGGCAGCGCTTACGGATGCGTTAACCAGCGAGGCAATCCCCGCTTGTGACCGCGCTGATCGCCACGTTAATCACCTCTCCGTAATTGCCTCCAATGACGGTGGCACGGGCCCTGTGGTCTGGGCCTGGCCCTATCGGGGAACCTAAGAATCCTCAATTTTACAAAGTTAAGAGAGCAGCCGAACAGCAGCAACCACTGTCCGCGGCCCTTGTGGGAAGAGATTTTAGTTCAAAGACGGCGGCAACGAGGGCGAGGGAGCAGCGCAGGACGATGTTGGGGAGTGACTCGGCATGGCCGCCACGGCGAGGCCTCGCTGCGGCGTCTCTCACCGTCCCCGGACGAGTCCATCGCAGAAGTCGTCAGATCGGTCCCGGCTCGGTCCAGGAGAGGAGGCCTCCTCCTGCACAGTGGGACAGAGTTCAGCTCACACCTCCTCCTCCTGCTGCTAATACTTCTGCAGTCCCCGCCGTGTGCGTTTCATAACTTGAAGCCTGGCCCTCTCTCCCCGTCCGTAGTGCGGGCGGGGGGTTGGGAGTTTGTTCGTTTAGCTCAGGCCTTGCTTGAGACTAGGATTGGAGTCGAGAGGCAGTTCTGCTGGACCTCAGGCTCGGAATATAACACACATCTCCTAGAACCAAGGTTCAGAGTTTAACCCCAGATATAACGCAGGTATCTTGGAACCCTTGGTGGGAGTCTAACCCAGCTGTAATTGAGCAGTTTAACAGTCTTATGTTTTCCGGAGCCCAGGGTAAAAATATAATCCAGGTCCGCTGCAGCCTAGGGAAAGTCTATCCCAAGTCTGCCGCAGCCCAGGGTGGGAGCCGAACCTAGGTTTGGCTGGAGGTCTCGCAACTCCACGCGGCGTAGTCGCAGCAGCTCCACGCACACGGAACTGGGTGCCGCGCCCCGTGACGCGTGGCGCCGCTGGGCGTGTGTACACGCGTGGTGCTGCCGACACACGCATGTGCGTGTGTACACGCGTGGTGCTGCCGACACACGCATGTGCGTGTGTACACGCGTGGTGCTGCCGACACACGCATGTGCGTGTGTACACGCGTGGTTCTGCCGACACACGCATGTGCGTGTGTACACACGTGGTGCTACCGACACACGTGTTTCTATTTAAAGCTTTCGTGACTGCAATGATTCATCTTCTTTGGTTCTTTCGGTAAAGTCACGTAGAATGAGAATAAAATAATAAATTGATAATAAAATAATAAATTGATAAAATAAAATAACACTATTTTATTTTATCAATTTATTATTTTATTCTCATTCTACGTGACTTTACCGAAAGAACCAAAGAAGACACGTGTTTCTGTTTACGCGTGTCTACATACGCTTCATGATACAGCTTGTTCGACTCTGAAGTCACGCATTTCAGAGTAAATGAACTTTTTACACACCGCAGTCAATGTCGATGCCATTGTTTTTTAAAACAAAACTTGAAACCGTAACAGTTGTGGACCATCAACTAGTCCAGGCACCAAAGGCTTTAACTACTTACTGGTCTTTGCAATCCGTTACTGTACTGTCATTTCATAAAAATCAAATATGGAGGTGGCTTAGTTGTAGCACATGTCCCTCATAGCAAGGAGGATCTTCTGGGTTCTATTCCAGACCCGGGTGTCTTTTTGGAGTTCATTTATCCCCCGGTTCTGCATGGGTTTCCTCCAGAGGCTCGAGTGCAGAAAATGCGTAAAATCCACCAGGCAGTAGATTCACGTTTTTATGTGGGTGACTGCGCTTATTATTTGTGCGAGTGCGTTTGTCTAATTGTTACAATGTTACTTTGCGTGTGAACGTCACGAGCGTGGGTGTTTGTGCCTATAGCTAGCTAGTGTGTCGTCCCGACCTTAACACGTGATCGCAGTCTGCACAAAGGCAAGATGGGGGGCCTTTGTATGAGTGCCGTGTATGTCGGAAAAGTATATATTGTGGCTGTGTGTGTATTTCAGTGTGTGGCTGTATGGTGTATGTGTCGGGAAAGTATATTGTGGCTGTGTGCTGGCTGTGTGTATTTGAGTGTGTGGCTGTATGGTGTATGTGTCGGGAAAGTATATTGTGGCTGTGTGCTGGCTGTGTGTATTTGAGTGTGTGGCTGTATGGTGTATGTGTCGGGAAAGTATATTGTGGCTGTGTGCTGGCTGTGTGTATTTGAGTGTGTGGCTGTATGGTGTATGTGTCGGGAAAGTATATTGTGGCTGTGTGCTGGCTGTGTGTATTTGAGTGTGTGGCTGTATGGTGTATGTGTCGGGAAAGTATATTGTGGCTGTGTGCTGGCTGTGTGTATTTGAGCGTGTGGCTGTGTGTGGTGTATGTGTCGAGGAAGTATATATTGTGGCTGTGTGCTGGCAATGTGCGTGTATTTGAGTGTGTGGCTGTATGGTGTATGTATCAGGAAAGTAGATATTGTGGCTGTGTGGTGTATGTAAGAGCGTGCCGCGTGTGGACGTAATGTCAGACTTGAGGGTGGTTCCGTTTTTAGAATAAACACGATTTCTCTCATGGGATCGAGGTTAGGACAACTTAGCCTATGAAAATTCTAGAATTGCACAATTCAGTTCGATACTCAGGCCCAAGGTTCTCGGGTATTCTCCCATAGCTAAAATAAACAATGTAAATGATATTAGATTCGAAGCTTTCATTACCCGATGATGGTTGCTTGTGTTGAAATCGAAACGTCTTCTATTATTAATTTATTTTATTTTCTTTCTACGTGACTTTACCGAAAGAACCAAATAGTAAAAGATATTGACAAAATATTTCAATGTTGAAAATTTCACATCAACCACAACTGCACAAACTTGACAGGACCCCCTGAAGGTGTCTTTAGACTCCATGGGGCTTCCCTGGGTAAACAAGCGTGATAACAAATAAAGATGTCCTGTAACGACCGTATCGTTTAATTCAAACCAAAGCCAAACAAGTTTACGTTGTTATGGGACCTCCTTTGCCAGTACCAAAATATGACAATAGGTTTTTTCCCCTTTTTTCAAAGCATATATTATCAGAATGTTTTTGTTTGTATTCTGACCACAAGCAGTGGTTAATGCAGACATGATTCCTTGTAAAAAGATTTCAGTTTGGTGGTTTAACATCTTAACACCTATTTTGTTGCCAGAAGGGGAAAAGCCTATTATCAAAGTTCACGTTGCTGCTCAAATAACCCGGAGGCAGAAAGCACCTCACGTGGAGCCACCACAACCTGAAGAGTTAACACGTATGGGGCTTTCGCGACCAATATATTCCAGCGGTTTTTGTGGGTTAGATCGCGTCAATATATAAATGTTGTGTCGTTAAAACCCGACACAGCCAACTTGTAAGGTTTGTCACGTAGACAGAACATGGCAATTCGTCACGAGTACAGCACTAACCGGTGTGTTGGAGAGCCAAGCCACAACATTTACAAACCGAGCACGTTTCGCCAGTAATTACAACTAGCTTCATCAGGCGACAGATTTGTGGAGAAGTCTTACTGTTTACCGAAATAAAACGCATACTGACGCCTATCTGAATGCAGTCATACCATCACTCCGCACAGAAATCTGCTCTTATCAAGACGCTCATTCAGCGAGCTAAGAAAGTCAGATGGTGACAGTCTGAGAAGTGAAATTCAACATGTTAAAAAAGCGCTGCAAATGAACGGTTACGATGATGCACAAATCAACAGGGCATTGAATACCAAAACCAAATCAAATAACTATTGCATTGAAACTTCCCAAGTAATTAAAACGATCAAAATACCGTACATTGCGGGAGTAACTGATAAACTCGCCAGATGTTTGGAAAAACAAAACATCCGAGTCAGATTTGGCACAGTACATAAAATACCGAAATTAATATCTGGTACAAAAGATGTATTACCGAAGCTATCAACAGAAGGTGTGTACAGGATTAACTGCACGTGTGGTAAATGTTATGTTGGAGCAAACAGGACGAATGATCAGCACGAGACTAAAAGATCAGATAAATATTAAATTATCCCAAATACAACTGTTAGCAGTAGCAGAACACGCGTGCCAACAATGACACTCAATTGATTTTGATAACGTTGAAGTTTTGTGCAAAACCAGCTGCTACTGGCCAAGACTAATTAAAGAATCTATCGAAATTTAAAAATCAAAATAACTTTAACCGTTCGGATAGCTACCGTCTTAGTGCTGCGTGGAAGCGAATCATCAAATAATAAATTATTTAAATGTATGCCTACAAAGGGCAGCGTATTTCAATAGGGATTACCGTTGGTAGGGCTATTTTAATAAACACAATAGACAGGAAGGACAAGTTCAAAGAGTTCGCATGATGCACATGCATAATGTACATTACCTCAGTAACCCCCCCCCCCCCCACACTGCGCAAGAGCGCAGAAGGGTGGTCACCACATCTACGCCTCTATATAAGGAACGTTAACTGTAAGACTTCTCCACAAATCTGGTTGTCACCTGATCAAGCTAGTTGTAATTACTGGCGAAACGTCGTACTTAGTTTGTAAAAGTTGTGGCTTGGCTCTCCAACACACCAGTGTGCTGTACTAATGACGAATTGGCATGTTCTGTTTACGTGACAACCCTTACTAGCTGTGTCAGGTGGTGGCGGGTTTTAACGACACATTTAGGTAGATCTTGCAGCTTTATATTTGAAATGTTTTCGTTCCAATGGAGCCGACTGGACAGTGTGCCGTGTCTTGTTCTCCGAGGCATGTACATCCTACGACCCAGGGACTCCGTTGACTCTGTGTTGCACCGAGAGCAGCAACCTCCCACAACATTGTGCCAATGTTCCTGGCGTTGCACGGCTTGACCAAGAGCGACATCACCGGGCACAGGAAAGAGCCAAGCAGGGCCCGTGCGTCCCTGAGTGTCGCTTGGTTGCCTTGCACTTCTGGCACTTGCAACTCGGTCCCTAATGAAACCCAGTGATTTGGCTCCATATCCACCCTCTATAGCTCAACAAATGTTGGTGCCCATAAAACAAGTGGGCACCCTTTATAATGTAGTCCCCAATTTTACAAAATTACCGGATGTGAAGTGTTAAGATGCTATAAAACGTTATCAAACTCACGCCGAAGGGTGCAAAGGGTTAACGTCAAGTGTCCGATTCAGCATTATATGTAGAGAAAGTGCTACACTGAGTTGATCAAGTGATTATTCTGCAAAAATAAAACATGTCACATTGATTCTACTAAAGGCATAAAAAAACATCAATTTCCTTGAGGCTCACACATTCTGCCAGAATGTCCTCTGATGTTCACCAAGTGTCCTGCAAAAGTTCCATATAAATTACCAACAAATACAATAGTGTAGGTGGACTTGCACAGACTACAATGTTTCCATCTCACGCAGTCATTTAATGATGCAGAGGTCATGGCCCCTGTTCTTTTTGGTTGTTTGATTTCTTGCAAACGAATCCCAAGCATTCTCGAACACCCTTGCTCTCAAGCTTTCTGTGCAGAATTTTCAGGCAACACAATGCTGTCCTGTTAGTCTCCATTCCTGTTGTGCATGCTGCACAGATCGCTGTAGGAGTGGCGGGCAGGACTTGAGAGGGGCAAATCATTGTTGTAAGCTGGTTCCTCCTTAATCGGGCGAATGAGTCGAGCACCTGAGCCAAAGCGTCCACCGCCAGCAAATGTGAAGTGCATGGGTGGCACGGCGCTCAGGCCTGGGCTACCCTGGTCCCCTAAAGAGTCTGCGCTCAGCTGTTCCACCACCTGCACACACGGGAGAAACAAAGTTGTACAAGCTGTGTAGCACCAATAATTAATTCATATCATTTATGATTTTTCAATTGCATAGTGCACACATTATACACATAATTCACAAGTGTACATCTGTCATGCTCTGGAGCTCCCAAACGGTACAGGGATGAAGGAAAAGATGAATAAAATGTAATTCTCTTACAAAGGACATTCCTAGGAAATTGTTTAAAAGGTTTGAAAAGTAACATAACTTTTGATTTAAAGCTTTCGTGACTGCAGGGATTCATATTCTTGGTTCTTTCGGTAAAGTCACGTAGAAGGGAAACAATAAAATAATAAAAAAAATATAAAACAATAAAATTCTCACGACGTTTCGACTGCTTGTGAACCAAGAATAAGTAACATAACGTTGTTTTAATGTTGTAAATTAATGCACGAAAACGGGCAGAAACGCTTTTTTATACGATAATGGTTGCGTACACTCACACCCATCCTTGTGCTCATGATCAGTTGGTAGAGTTCAGCTTTTTTCACGCGGTATTGATGCTATTAACCTTAAGATTATTGCTGTTGTATTTTTGTTGATATATTATTGTTATGAACAATAATCTAATTATACCCTTTGGTTCTTTTGGTAAAGTTACGCAGGTAGAAATAAAATAAAACAAATCACGACGTTTCGATCGCAACACAAGCAATCTTCATCAGGTGGAACAACCACAGCAAGAAATGCTGAAGTAGACAAGAGAGCTGCCGTGGCAAGAGATTATATAGGTAAGAGTGGGGGGAGGCAGGGGGGGAGAGAGGGGGGGGTAGGGTAGGAGGGGGGCTGCGTGAGCGCTAGGGGAAGAGGACGTGAGGCTGGGGGGGGAAATGGGCGGGGAGAAGTGGGAAGCTGAGTGTGGGACACGGGGGGGGGAAATGTACTAGTAAATGGCAGGTTCTATGGAAACAACCACAACCAGTTAAGGCATTACCTGGTTAATAACAGCTTCCCACTTCTCCCCACCTACTTCCCCCCCCCAGCCTCACGTCCTCTTCCCCTAGCGCTCACGCAGCCTCCCCCCCCATTCCCCTACCCCACACCCCCCCCCCTTTCTGTCTCCCCCCTTGCCTCCCCCCGCTCTTACCTATATAACCTCTTTCCACGACAGCTCTCTCGCCTACTTCAGCATTTTCTTGCCGTGGTTGTTCCACCTGATGAAGATTGCTTGTGTTACGATCGAAACGTCGTGATTTGTTTTATTTTATTTCTACCTACGTGACTTTACCGAGAGAACCAAAGAGTATGGATTCCTGCAGTCATGAAAGCTTCAAATCAATAATCGAATTGTTTCTGATAGATCTTTATTGTTGATACATTATGTTATGGTCGTTCATGTTTATAAGTTATGATATCAGTTTAACACATAGGCTTTAATGACAAATATCATCTACGCCTCTATATAAGGAACGAAACAGTAAGACTTCTCCACAAATCTGGCTGTCGCCTGATGAAGCTAGTTGTAATTACTGATGAAACGTCGTGCTCAGATTGTAAATGCTGTGGCTTGGCTCTCCAACACACCGGTGTGCTGTACTAGTGACGAATTGGCATGTTCTGTTTACGTGACAACCCTTACTAGGTTGGCTGTGTCGGGTGGTGGTGGGTTTTAACGACATTTATATATTGACGCGATCTAACCCAAAAAAACTCTCTTATGGAAGTTATTATATGGATTCATATTCTTGGTTCTTTCGGTAAAGTCACGTAGAAGGGAAACAATAAAATAATAGAAATATATATATAATAAAATATATATTATATTTGTATTACTTTATTGTTTCCCTTCTACGTGACTTACCAAAAGAACCAAGAATATGAATCCCTGCAGTCACGAAAGCTTTAAATCAAAATTTATTATATGGTTATTCAAATTGTTGATATGTTATTACTGTTGATGTTGATTGAAAGTTGGCCAGTGAGTACCACCAGGAAGAAAATTGCAGGAAATCCGTATCGCATCCAATTAACTGAAGTTGTATCCCTTGCATATGTGCGGGCAGTGCTAATGCATGAATAATTTTGCTTTGCGTCATGTAGCGAGTGACAGGAGATATTTTTGTTTTTAGACTTGTAGGTCCATTTGTCATACACATACCCACTTGAATTTGTATGGTGGTCCATATGCCAGTTCTGTTAACTGAAAACAATTACTGCCACTGTCACAAGGCAGAGTGCTTGCATACAGATCTGTCAGGGCAGACAATTACTTTTGTAATTGTTTTCATTTAATTACTTTACTTTTGCAATTACTTTTGTAATTGTCTTGACATCTTTGAAAAAGAGCTTCAAAACTCATTGTATTCCTCTAGTCTAATTACAGATTCTGATTATTTTCTTCATGGTTATCCTAACTAGAGGCCGACCGAAACTGAATTTCTAGTTTCGGCTGAAACCGAAGCCAAAAGTTTAACTCCACTTTCGACCGAGACCAAAACAGAAAGGTATATAACGAGTTACCGAATACAAGATTTATGAAATATGTCATGATCCAACGCTACTTTAATTAAAACTAAATCTAGAACTAATCATTCAGAGCCTGCAGTAAGAGTCACTAAATATCAAATCTTTAGGTGTTACTTACTTAGTAATTATATCCAAACAAACGAATGTTGTAGTTAAGAAACAACAGTTCTTCCGCACTCTCGCCCAGCAGGTTGTTGCGCCTTGCTTGCATCAGAATCGACTTTAGTGGGGTAATCCCACACCGCATGTTTTGACATTCTTCACGGTGATTAACTGCTCCGTTTATTAACTTTAATTTTCTAATTCACTCAGATTCGTAATTTCATTATCACTAATTCGCTACAGAACTATTAACTAACTGAATATCAATATTGTCAGACTTAGAATCTCGGTATCAACACGTGTGTTGACTGAAGCGAATCGCAACATATAAGCCAAGGCGGGCAGGCAGCTGGAACAGACAACAGAGGCACTTTGTTGTCGTCCCGCCAAAAAGACTCCACCCATGGATGGAAATGCAGGCTGCCATCTGTTGACCGGTCGTATATACATTAGCAGACCATGGTTGTGGCTGTAACCTCGCTACCAAGCTGCTGCTGCTGACGTGTATGTGTGTACGTGTGTGTGTGTATGTCCGGCAAAAAAAAACCCCTACCTCCTCGCGGTGCCGGACGGGCAACTCTGTCGTGGACAGTGCTGTGGGGAGAGGGCCAATTCCGATTGGCCTCTCCCCTCATGGCGTCTGTGACCACCACAGTGGCTAAACGGGGGCTCTGGACGGGTGCGAGGGGCTGGTAACCGCTCCACCTTCAAAAAATTACCATGAAACCACGACTTAAATGTATGGAGCGTGGCAGTGAGGTGTGGGAAGCTGTAAGCCCCAGGCTACTTTGGGCTCGCCTTCCCATCAACCGGAGGCGAGGAGTGGTGGTCGTGGTTACTTATGCCCCCACCGAAGACGAACATCCGTGGAGGGATGCAGGCAAAGCCAATGAGTCAGATGCCTTCTATGACCTCCTGTCACAGGTGCTGGCTAAAGTGGCCCCTCGGGATAGAGTCATCTTGTTGGGTGACTTCAATGCCCGAGTTGGTCATGATGCTGGCACCTGGTCTGGAGTGATTGGAGGGCATGGGCCAGATAAGCTCAATAACAACGGTAGGAGGCTGCTAGATTTGTGTGCAGCCCATGGGCTTGTAATTACCAACACTCTGTTTTGGCATCGGCGCATCCACACATCATGGATGCATGCCGGGTCCAAGCAAGAACATCTGCTGGACTACATAGTGATGGACCAGTGAATGCGAGCCCATGTCCTTGACACCAGGACCTACCGTGGAGCTGATCTGCCCTCTAACCATCGACTAGTCATCTGTAAGATGCGCCTGCCATTCTTCCACTCCGGTGGTGGGTGTACACCCAGGACCCCATTCCAACCTAAAGTGGCCTGGTCTCAGCTGATGAAAGTTGCAAGCGATAATTTCATCATCGCTTGCGGCTGGGGTTGGCATCGTCCCCCACTCCTCCTGATGTCAAAGGTAAATGGGCGAGGTTTAGGATGGTGACTCATGCAGCTGCAATGGCTGCTTTGGGTACGCGGTCCAGACCTCCCCAGAGACCCTGGCTGACAGAAGTGGTGTTCAGGATAGTTGAGAAAAAGCGACAGGCCCACTGTCATCGGCTAAAGAATCCCACGTCAGAGAATGAGGAGGCTTACTGCAGCCTTCGCTCGGAGGTTCGGAGAGCCGTGAGGCACTGCAAGGATGGGTGGTGGTCGTGGGTTGCTGAGGAGATGGAGTCTGCCTCAGTGGCCCGCGATCACAAATCTCTATTTAACTACATCAAAAAAGTAACCTGCAGCACCACACCTATTACCATCATTAGGGGAAAAAATAGTGTTCCAATCTCCAACCCCCAGGAACAGGTTTGCAGATTTTCTGAGCATTTCTGTGAGGTCCTGGGGGAGGGGAAACCCCTCAGCCAGGAAAACATCGTGGCACAAAGTGAGGATGACCCTGCTGAGGCTGCGGTGCCTCAAATATTGGAAGAAGTCACCCCCTGTGAGTGGCTGGCTGAGATACCATCTGTAGAGGAAGTACTGAGGGATGATCCGGAGTCTGAGACCAGGAAAGGCACCGGGCAGAGATGATCTCCCAAGGGAAATGCTGAGGGAGGGTGGCGTTTGTGCACAGACTGCCCTATATGACATCATAACAACAGTCTGGACCACTGGACGGGTTCCGCAGGATTGGAAGGATGCCCTGGTGGTCCCCCTCTTTAAGAAAGGGGACCGCACAGACTGTAACAACTACAGGGGCATCTCACTCCTCAGTGTGCCGGGAAAGGTCCTGGCAAGGATTATTCAACATCGCCTTGCCAGGCACGCTGAGGAGAGGCTTGCGGAGCCCCAATCCGGTTTCAGGAAAGAGCGGTCCTGCACAGATGCCATATTTTCTGTCCGTCTGCTACAGCAGAGGTGTAGGGAATTCCAACAAGACCTACATCTCTGCTTTATTGACCTGGTCAAGGCCTATGATACCATCAGTAGGCCTGGGCTCTGGGTTGTTCTTCGTGCTTTTGGAGTCCCTGACCCCTTGCTCATGATCATTAAGGACCTTCATGATGGTGAGCGGGCCCGGGTAAAACTACGTGGCCGGGAGTCAGAGCCATTCCCTGTACACCTTGGGGTGCGACAGGAATGTCCTCTGGCTCCCACATTATTTAACATCTATTTTGACCACGTAGTTCGTGAAGCCTTCAATAGCTGTACCGGGGGAATCTCCATTTGGTACAGATATAATGGGAGGCTGATCAATGCCCGGGTGCGGTCAAGGGATGGCTCCCTATTGCTCAACCACATTATGTATGCTGATGATTTGGTAATAGCTGCTCATTCAGAGGAGGAGTTGGAGACGCTGCTGCTGAGACTGGAGCGTGCCACTAAGAGATGTGGCCTTACCATCAGCCCCACCAAAACTAAGCACCTACCTGGGTATTTTGTACCATCGGACACTCCACCCCCACAACTCCCAATCGGTGATGGGGCAGTTGTAGAGAGAGTGGAGAGTTTCCCATACCTGGGCAGTGTGCTTATGACCGGCTCCAGTTTAACAGCAGAGGTCTCACTCCGAATCAGTCGAGCGGCAATATCTTTCCATCGGTTGCATAACGCTGTGTGGAAGACACCTGGTCTGTCGCTCCGCACTAAGCTTTAGGTATTCTCGGCCACGGTCATTCCCTCCCTTCTCTACGCTTGCGAAACGTGGACCCCCCTAATGGAACATCTTCGCCGGTTAGAAACATTTAGGCTAGCCTGCCTATGATCCATCCTGGGTTTAACCAGGCTGGATTGTGTGAGGAGCTCACAAATCCTTGAAAGATCTGGACAAGGTCCCATCGGTGAGCTCCTCCGGCAGGCAAGGCTGCGTTGGCTGGGTCATGTAGCCCGCATGCCCAGCCACCGCATGCCTAAACAGCTTTTGTTCGGCCGGATGGAGGGGGCTAAACGGGCACGGCACAGGCTAGAAAAGAGATGGAGTGACGTGGTACAGGAGGACGTGGAGCTGAGTGGACTTGCCGATGACTGGTACCAGCGGTCTCAAGATCGGCCTCTGTGGAGGAGGCTCGTGAAGGACGCTACTGGGCAGTTGGAGGCAGTCGCCCTCCAACAACAACGGAGGGCGGATGAGCGATGCTCACAACAACGAGCGGAGCGCCGGGTGGCTAAAGCACAGCAGGTTGGCACAGTAGGGGGCACAGGTGGTGCATCAACCAGTCATCTCAGTCAGTCGACCCGCGGCACCTGGGTCTGCCCCGTGACCTGCCAGCGGGCATTCGACACTTCACGTGGCCTCAAGTTGCACATGGCCTGGCACAAGCGTCGTGGTGATGTCACCGCCACTTAGTGGCAAATGGTGGTTGTTGCTGTTGTGTGTGTTTGCAGCCTATGCATAGGATTGCCTAGCGCCGACTGATCGGCCGATTGGCAGAGTCATAGACGTAGCACGAGCGTTATAGTCTAAAAATAGATCTTCGGTTGACGAATGATGACCGAAAGTCAATATCAGTTTCGGCCGAAACAGAAACCAGACCGAAAGTTAAAAATTGACTTTCGGCCGCAACCGAAACTATGCCGAAAGAGGCCATTTGCCAACTATCGGCGCCGAAACTAAAACCGAATTTCGGTCAGCCTCTAATCCTAACCACAAATCCCTTAGCCTGAAAATAATCCCTGATACTAATCCCCAATGGACTCTGTTGCCTTCTATTCACAGCCTTGATGATGTCCACGACTGCTTTGGGGCCTATGGACCCCAGTTGAAAGAATTTGGTTTAAGAGCCATACCTGACCAGGTCTGGGCCAATGTTCACCAGCCGAGTATTCATTATCGAGGTTACGGTCCTGCAGACCAGACAGTGTGAGAAAGACAATGCAGACCACACACAAGCTCGAATGACAAGTACACTTTTACCATGGATACTGCCATCAGAGTTACCACGACTAGCACCATTGTAACAGGCCGGAGCTTGTTAAGTGGCTATCCAAGACAATAAAATGTGAGATCCGATCATCAGTGGTCACCTCTTGCACATGGATTCATGTGAAGTGGCAGTAGCCGATTTGTATGACAAAGCCAAACAGGACCATTTATATCCTGCAAAGTTTGGCTGAGTAATGACTTTTCAGCCTTTTGCTTTATATATCCAAGCAGAACTTATCCGCCAATAATTTAGGGCAGTATTGTTGCTTTGGCTCAAAGCCATGATCTATTCAAGCTGGCTCTAGGCATGGCCCCTAAGCCATGCTCAGGATTTCCATAATCTGAGCCTCATCCAAGCCACGGTTGAACCACTCGTACGTCTTTGAAAACAACAGTGCAACTCAAGCCCCACCTGAGCCATGATTAAGATACAGCCCCAAGGCTCCGACTTGAGAAAAAACGATGCCGTGCATGGGACTTGTAGTCTGGCCGTGAGCGCGGTGAGAGGTTAAGGAGATGCTCCTACCACACAGTGCACCAGGAGGCTGAGTGGAACCCACAGCAGAACCGAGAAGATGAGCACAGAGCCCACCACATTATCAGCCAGGAACCGGCCTGCACCACAGAAGGAGGCTCATTCAGACCTATCCTCTCCAACCATTCATGTTCGAGATTTTATTTTCTGGGAGACACAACTTGGTGTCCGCATTTACTAAATAGTATCACTTCAATCGTGATAGCAGCCAAAAAAATACAGAGATATGACTGTGTATAATAAGATGGTCCCATTCCCATAGTAAACAATAAGATTCACAGACATTAGATATTTGAAATTTTACCTGAAAAACCTGAAAAAAAATTACTACCTCTAACTGAAAACCACAAAACCCACAAAATTCATCGTAATATGCAAATGAAACTGGAAAATATAAACTGCAAACACACAACTGACATACAACATGAACACCGAGGGAAGACAGAAACAATAATATAATCAGTGGCACGAGTGTAAATGTCCCTCAGGAACCTGGATTTGGAGCACATGGCATGGTGGCCCGGTGGCACAGCGACTGGCTCGTAATGAGGTTGGGGCGCCGCGGTAGCAAGATGTTAATTAGTTTAACACGTAGAAGGCTTTCGCGACCAATAATATTCATAATAAAGGTTTTTGGGTTAGAACGCGTTATTTATAAATGTCTCGTAACCCTCCACCACCCGACACGGCCAAACAGTAAAAAATGCGTCACGTTTACAAAGGACTAAATAGTCCTTTGTAAATGGTTACGACACATTTATAAATAACGCGATCTAACCCAAAAACCTTTATTATGAAGATGTTAATTACCTTGCCTGGTATGCAAGAGGCCGTGGGTTCATTCCCAACCCTGATGCCTATATATTTAGAGTTTGCATGTTAAACCCGTGGATTTTTCTCCAGGTCCTCTGGTTTTTCCCTCCACATTTAGAATCAATATGCATTTAGAGTATTTGGTTGCTATAAATGTCCACATAATAAGCCACTTCGTTGTGGCCTGGTGGCTTCTGAAAAAGAGCTATATAGCTCAGTGGCCCTTGCCTGGTAAAAGAAAAAAATAGTAATAGTACAAATCCTGGTTGGGAGTTGACTCAACTTATCATCCCAGTGGGGTCAATAAAATGAATATTACTATGAGGAAGTCGACGGTGATTGCCCTATCAACTCGGCCCAGCCATAGGGATGTAGAATTTCCATCACTATGTCAGGACTGTAAACGTGAGATGAGCACCAGTGCCCTCAACATTAACTTGAGCCGGAACTCTCTTCGCACCGGGACGCGCACATGGGAGACTCACTGAGCTCGTTGGCGTTGAGCTTCTCTATGAAGTCCCACGTGCGCTCCAAGAAGTCCTGCACCTGCTTGATGCACTGTCCCTGTGAAGACATGAGAGGAGCTATTTGAACCTTGGCACACGAGCAGCCCATCCTGGCCTGAACCTCACAAACTGTGGGTTGCAACCCCCAGAAAAAAACGTAAAAAAACCTCATACTTCAATATGAACAGTAAATTTAAAAGATCGTGGTAAATGCGTCTCCAACTTGTTAACACCTTTGTGAAGGCATCAGGACAGTTACACATCGCTTGGGGAATGCTGGCCTAGATATAGCTTCCCTGTGAATTGTTTGATCCAAGAACAGTGTGCATGCCCACAAGGGAGTGACACGCTACTCTGCCTGCATGACAACTCCATGGGTTATTCAGACACTCAACCTGTGTACGTTTACATTATATGGAGGCAGCTTTAGGGCTGTATCATTAGTCACAGCTCGGATCTGGATTGCCCTAAAAAATGGCTCAGCTCAGGCTTCGAGCCACTTGGTTGTTTTCAAGGAAGCATGAGCGGCTCAGCCGTGGCTTGGCTCGGGCTCAGCTCATGGAAATCCTGAGTGTGTCTTGGTATCATGTTCACAGCCGGCTCAAGTTAATCCTGGCTTCGAGCTGGCTCACTTGAGCCAGAGCCATGTCTAAGCAGAACCATGACTATGAATACGGGCCTAGGTCGGCACAACACAAAATCACAGCTTGAAGCGGACAGCTTATAGGCCATGGCATGCAACCCATTCAAGGATATGACAGGTACTGCCACCTCACCCTGCCCTCAGTGTCAGCGCATCATGCAACCTCACATGAATGTCACAGAATCCGACGGAACATGGCTTCCCCCGGGGTAGCAACAGAGGGGAGCCTCCTGCCGCCAGGTATGGGGCACACCCTCCTCCTGGTCTTCGACAGCATACCTTGCACGAGTCGTTCTTCTCTACAGACGCATGGCGCGCACACACAGAGATACGCACTTACAGTTCAACACATTTCAAACAACTTTCAAATTGGATATACATACCCCACTCGAGTATTCGGTCACTGATTAGTCCTCGTCTGAAAAGAGTCTGAAGATGAAGAAAAGAGGCAGAATGGTTGTGCGTGCAGTGATGTGTCCTGAGTCGTGTAATTTGAAATGTTACACATTTAATTAACTTGTATTACCAACAGCTGAATAGAACATTACAAAATCTTGTCGAACAATTTCGATTCAACGCAGTAAGAAGATGCAGAGTGAGGATGTCAGCGTTCATTTCATGTGATGATATGAACTGCCAGCGAGACAAAGAAACAATGGATCGTGTTCTTTGATCGAGCAAGGCACCGGAAGGCTTCCAGATGTGTGAATTATTCAATTCACAACTGGGCGAACCATGTGCCCAGGTAATGAGACAAGGATGCATTTTAATTGTGGTATAATAACGATGTGTAGGTGTGAGCCACATTGTCTAGATTCTGGAACCTCTGAGGGAAGGATTCAGAACTCGAGCTCGATTAAAAACGCATCGAATAAATTATATCTTTCTGCCAATTCAGTGTAAAGTACTTTAGGGTGTCTGTTCGAGGTGGTGTTGAATTTAATACAAATGTAGTGTTATTGAATGATTAATCCGAATCGTTTTTGACTGACTGAATGCCTCTATATAAAATATAAAAAGGCCATTGTTTCTGTACGGTGTTCTGTAATGCGGTTGCATCTGTATGCTATATTAATCCTAATAGTAGTATTATATGAATTCAACTGTGATGAGAAACCATGAATCAGCAAATGTAGACTCGTGAAAACTACGCTCTGTACGTCAATAATCCAAGAGGCATAGGAACCCGTTGTGTCATGCACTAACCTGCACATACACAAGGCTCGAGTTTCTGCTCCAGGGTTGTGCAGAATGGCTGGCACACGCCACTCAAACAGCGACCGTGGTCGAGACACTCGGTCCCATCAGACAAGTTTCCAGGTTTGGGACAAACTCCACTGTCTCCTGAACAACAACAGCAGCCGCAGATGTGGTTATCACAGCAGCGTCAAAGCACCGGGGCACAACACTACTCCAACAATATTAATACGACCGCATCTCATGCTTGTGGAGTGTGGATATAAGCTTAGTTGTTTACGAGAGATGCACCCACCTGTGCAGAAGGCAGCTTCCCTGCAAAGGGCGGGCAGCCGACCTTGGCACAGCACTTGGTCTTTGTAGCGGCATCCTTGGCAGCAGGGTGAGTTTCGGTCACTGGATATACATATGTGTGCACACAGGAACACACAACAACATGTTAGCCCAGGTGTACATGCCGCGGGGACTTCTGGGTGGGGGGCATGACCCCACACGAGGATGCAGTGCCACCCAAATGAAGCAAATACTAACCTCACCGTTACCTTGCGCCTACCCATCGTATCTCAGGTGGCTCGTGGCCAGTGTGCACACCATCATCCATGCCCCAGCAGACAGAAAGTTGTGGTGTTATAGCTCATTCTGCACATGCATGATAAACTGGGCCAGTAACCACTTTCCTGACCAAAGCCACAGCAGGGCAGCTGTGCCCATTACAGGCATACTGAGTACAGGTGTTCACGGGTGGCTGTATAAGCACACATTTGTGTGAATAGAAAACGTGAATGCACTTCATTCCCCATCGACCGACAGATCTTTCAAGTAACTACTACCTGCTGATTGCGAGCCGCTCGCTCTCCCGCTGAGCCAAGTGGCCGGTGAAAGTTCACTCTTCAGTTCCAATTATTCTCAGAGACCATCAATGGTTTCAGATTACAGAGCTAGGTTTCCAAAAACCACCATGAGCACCTGTGTTACGTAAAATATCAAAAGGATTTACAACATGGGACATCGGCAAGCCCTGGAGTTCCTTTTGTAGGCGAGGCCACACCTGCATAGTGCGTTTTCGCGCAGGGTGCAGTTGTGGGTGCAGCAGGAGTGGTTCCTGCCCAGCGGAGGGCCCTCATCGCACTGCTCCCCATCTTCCACACGGAAGTTCCCACAGTACTTGTGTCTCTGTGGGGTGAGGCAGCTGGCTGCCTTGTGGGATAGGACCTGCCCTACAGAACGCACGCTGCACGGGGAAAAGAGCTGTGCAGCAGAAACACAAAGCAGGTCCACACAGTGCACACACACGCACACACACAGTCAGAGCCCTGCCGCAGAGACTTGCCATGAGTGCCACACTTCATCCATCCATTGTCGCATGCAGTCGAATCCCAACCACTGCATTAGGCAAGTTACAAATCATTGACTAAAAAAGGTTGTGCTCATGTTACCTGCGTGGAATCATATGCACAAGACTGGATTATGTCCAATTCGTAAGCATTGCGAGTGGCTCAAGCGAAGCCTAAAGTCAATATTGGGTTCTACAGGCACCACAAAGGCAAAGGGAATGTCACTCAAACTCCAAAAAATGATCACGAATCACTGCAGCATGCGGAAGTAGCAAATTGTTACAACTCCATGCATCGCCAGACGCCAACTGTGCTCTTGCTATTGTCGGAGCCATTGTGATAGTGCTGTGCGGGCGATGCTCACGCCGTTGTTGGGCTGGTCTCCGCTCACAGCAATTGGATACATGATGTATTTGCCATCGGCGTCGTGCCCTGCTGAGCACTCCTCCGTGTCGTGCCCGGCCCCAAAACTGTGGCCCAACTCGTGGGCAACGACCAGCTCCACCTCCTAAACACGGCAGACACACACACACGCCACATACACATCGCACACATATGCATTGCATGCATCACACGCACCGCACAGAGAGCACACACGCATGGTGGCCAGCACCGTGGAGGCAAGGGTTGGTGGATCTCTTAAATGTTGTCAAACTCCCTTTCCGTGGACGTGAAGGTGGTGTCATACACTGGCCCACCACGGCAAGGCAGCACAAGTGGACAAATCGCCATTTCCATCTGGAAGGGGAAAAAGTGTTGCCCCCTTGCACACATGGGTTTTCTCCTGCTTGTATCGTTAACACAACTCATCATTTTATGGATGAAAACATCTTAAAATAAAAACCCAATGCAGGACCCTCCTGAAAAAGAGTCCTACGACTCAGTGTGGCTTTCTTGGATAAATAAACCAATTGTTATTACGCATCACACACGCCGCACAAATACACCGCACACGGATCACATGCATCACACACGCCACACATGCACGTTGCACATATATCACACAAATACATCACCAACACGCATCACATAGAGATGAATAAACTTGTGAATGTGGGCAAACAGACTACATCGTGATGGATTCCTTCAATAAAGAGGTATCTAAAAGGTGCAGAGATGAGTGGATAGTGATTCATTTGGCATTGGAGTTATTTAATAGGTTTATTTATCTAATTATTACACTAGTTTGCCTAGGAAAGCCTCAATGAGCAAATTTTTGCTCAGGAGGGTCCTGGCAGGTTTTTTGCAGGAGAGGGCATAAATTGCTGAGCATTTCCCCTTCAAATAACTGGCAAGTATTTTTACAAATTTGGAGCACAACACCGGCACAGAGTGGACTATTCTTACCATCCACTGTGAAGCAGATGCTGCGTATCTACGGTTAACACACCTGGAGTAATAACACTGTATAACATTTTTTTTTTGTTCCTGAGTAGTAAGTGTTATTTGCTAATTGCTCATGCCTCAAAAGTACAGAAATGGCAATTATTCCCCATAAACTTTACTTTTGTGACCAGGACAGTGACATTTTGAAATTTACCTATTTTCCAGAACATTCCAGATAGATTCAGTGCTGAGTAAACTTGGAGTAACTTCTAGAACATTCTAGAACTTTCCAGTAATATAAATGGTAGTATAAATACAGGGGCCTTAAGCCCACCAGTTCAGTTTAGTTCCAGCTGCCAAAGTGGATACATATGTGCATTTTCAGAAATGGCATCAAGAGGCTGCAAGGATCCGGCAGATGCATTTTGCTATGTCTGCGGCCAATTTATCAAGACAAGAGCGAAAAAGTACTCTGTGGAAGCATCTGTGAAGATGTGTAAAGATCTACAAGGCATATTTCGGCATGCCTGTCGGGGATCAAGACGAACCCTGGGCACCTTATTTCACCTGCGAGCAATGCAAAAAAAACTCTGGAAGGTAAGATGGACAATTGTTGCTCGGAATTTTATGTTATAAAATTTGTTACAATTTTTTGTTTTAAAATTTTCAATGTTATTGAAAAAATATATCATATATGAAAAATGTTGCGTGAATCTCTTACACATTAGTCATGGGTGAAATAAATGAATTTTTGTAGGATGGTACAGAGGGGAAAAGAGAGCCATGAAGTTCGCTATCCCAAGAATTTGGCAGGAACCCACTGACCACTCGAGCAACTGTTACTTCTCCATGGTGGACCCTTCCAAACGTCGGACTGGCAAGAATACACCTGCTATCACGTATCCAGACCTTCCTTCATCCATCGCCCCGGTGCCACACTGCCATGAGCTCCCTGTAACCACTCCTCTGTCTTTAGAAGAGAGCAGCAAGTCAGAGAGCGAGGAAGACGTTGTAGATCCAGATGCCAATTTCAGAGGTGGAGCTGAGGAGAGAAACCATATTACCCCAACCAAAAAGACCTAAACGACTTGATCAGAGATCTTGGTCTCACCAAGTCCAATGCCGAGCTTTTGATGTCTAGGCTCAAGCAGTGGAACTTACTGGATGAAAGTGTGCAAATCACAGATCAGAGGAAGCATCACCAACCTTTTTGCAGCATCTTTACCCGTCAAGATGGGCTCTGCTTCTACCACAATGTGACCAGTCTGTTCGATGCAATTGGAATCGCCTGTAACCAGAATGAGTGGCGCCTCTTCATTGACAGCTCATCCAGGAGCCTCAAAGCCGTGCTGCTCTATAATGGTAACAAGTACCTGTCTCTTCCCCTGGCTCACTCAGTGCACCTCAAAGAGGATTACAACAGCATCAAGACCTTGCTGGACGCCTAGAAGTATGATGAGTACAGCTGCGAGGTCATCAGAGACTTCAAAATTCTGGCATTCCTGATGGGTCTCCACGGCGGTTTTATCAAATTTCCCTGCTATATTCTTGGTTCTTTCGGTAAAGTCACGTAGAAGGGAAACAATAAAATAATAAAAAATATATAAAACAATAAAATTATCACGACGTTTCGACTGCAACACAAGCAATCATCATCAGGTGTGAAAACTACAGCAAGAAAATTTTGAAAAAGTGGCGGTTATTTTTAACATTAGCACCACGGAGAGCGATTTGGCAGTTATTCAGGTGGACGAGTCCATCTATGTTTCGAAAAGAGGAGGGGGGAGATGAAAATAATGGACGCGGTCTGAAAGCCACAGTAAGCGTGAACAATCAATTAAGACCCGAAATGGTTTATCAAATCCTTCCAATGATTGCTAAACCAGAATCCATCTTCTCGGTTGAAATTGTCTCTGTGTTTGTATATGTGGATAGCCTCATGACCGAATCTCTCATGGTAGCCAGATGGCTTGCAAAGAACCTATGTCTTGGAGAAGTCAATGTTATGTGAGCATACTGAATTATAACAGTGAATTGCCACTACCGAGGTGTTGGTCCTACCGTGTTTTAGGTCTGCTTTGTGTTGACGAATGTGGTCCGAGATATGTCGTTTGGTTTCTCCAATGTAACTACTACCACAGAGGCAACTAAGTTTGTAGCCGCCAGGGTACTGTATGTCCGAAAGCACATCTTTTACAGATGGAACCAGATCACGGATTTTATGTAATGTGTTGAATCGGACCTGGATAAACCATTTTGGGTCTTAATTGATTGTTCATGCTTACGGTGGCTTTCAGACCGCATCCATTATTTTCGTCTCCCCCCTCTTTTCCGAACATAGATGGACTCGTTCACCTGAATAACTGCCAAATCGCTCTTCGTGGTGCTAACGTTAAAAATAACCGCCACTTTTTTAAAATTTTCTTGCTGTGGTTTTCACACCTGATGATGATTGCTTGTGTTGCAGTCGAAACGTCGTGATAATTTTATTGTTTTATATTTTAATTATTTTATTGTTTTCCTTCTACGTGACTTTACCAAAAGAACCAAGAATATAAATCCCTGCAGTCACAAAAGCTTTAAATCAAAATTTCCCTGCTATCTTTGCCTTTGGGACAGCAGGGACACCAAGGCGCACTACCACAGGCGGGACTGGCCACAGCGGACCGAGTTTTCTGTGGAGAGGAACAACGTCAAGTGGGAGCCACTGGTGGACCCCCGGAAGGTGCTGCCACCACTGCACATCAAATTGGGCCTTATGAAACAATTTGTCAAAGCTGTAGATAAGGAGTCGGCAGCCTTCAAGTACCCTCAAGACTTCTTCCCTAAGCTGTCTGAGGCAAAGGTCAAAGCCGGTGTCTTCGTCGGACCACAGATAAAGAAGATCCTGGAGAGCAATGAATTCCCCAAGAAGCTCACTAGTAAGGAGAAAGTGGCTTGGAACAGCTTTGTCGCAGTGGTTCGTGGCTTCCAGGGCAATCACAAGGTCGAAAACTAAGTAGAGCTTGTTGAGACTCTGGTGAAGAACTCTGACACAATGGGCTGTAGGATGTCCCTCAAAGTCCATATCCTTGATGCTCATCTTGATAAATTCAAGGAGAACATGGGAGCGTACTCAGAGGAGCACAGCGATCGCTTCCACCAAGATATACTGGACTTTGAATGCCACTACCAAGGACAGTACAATGAGAACATGATGGGAGACTACATTTGTGGGCTGATTCGTGAAAGTGATTTACAGTATAATCGTAAATCTCGAAAAACTACTCACTTCCAAATCTTTTGTAGTAATTTTTGTATTACTTTAGGATAAATACATGTTAATTTTGATTCATATGTTTTTTTTCTCTGAGTTTATGTGAACGAAAAGTTTAACACGTAGGCTTTCGCGACCAATATCATCCATAAGAGGTTTTTGGGTTAGATCGCAATCTAACCCAAAAACCCCTATTATGGAAAAGACACAAATTCGCCTGTTTTCTCATTGAAAATCGGTAAATTTCAAAATATGGCTGTCATGGTCACAAAAGCAAAGTTTGTGGGGAATAATAACCATTTTCTATACTTTCACACAGCTCTCTCGTTGACATGCTAATTTCTCTGCTCCAGCAGCCCCACCTCTCTCTCTGCCCCACCCCCCTCTCTCTCTATTTAAGGCCTCGACACAGAGGCATTGGGTCTCTGTGTGTCTATGTTGTGTGTCTCTCTCAGTGTCTCTATGTTGTCTCTCTCTGCTTGTGTGTCTGTGTGTACCTGATGACGATTGCTTGTGTTGCAATCGAAATGTCGTATTCTATTATTCAATTTATTTTCTATCTACGTTACTTTACCGAACGAACCAAAGAGTATTTTCTATACTTTTTAGGTATAAGCAATTAGGAAATAACACTTATTACCCAGGAACAAAAATTGTGTTACATAGTGCAATGAGTTGTCAGCCAGCAGGGACATTAAAATCATGAGACTAAGATAATGAACACCTTGTTATAATCATTATTAAGGCAGTACGGCGATATGGGAGATGACATATATTACTCAATTGGGATTATACATAGCAAGGATCACCTCCTACTGGCAGACTGATGCATAAGGATAGCTTTTGCTAGGGATGCCCCTAGGCTTGGCCATACACAAGCAATCATAGCCCCCTACTGAAAGACTAATGCCCCATGTCACTTGTGCAAATGAAACTCATCCAGGTCACTTTAGTTCACACCTGGTTACACAGAATCAACTGAAAATACTTTGGGCCGCCTTCATGCAGAGATATATTGTTCACAGCTGTTTATGGTGACTTTTAAGGAAGTGTTGTTTATTTTCGGCACAGAGATATTTTGTATCGTACTTTGCATGTCAGATCTCCCTTGCTAAATCCCCTTTTTTTGCTGGTAGGGCACTCACCTGGTTAAAATTGAAGTCAATGTATGTGTGTACTGTGTATACTTAAAGTGCACTTGGCCTAAATTTTGACTTAAAACTTTTGTGACTGCAGGAATTCATATTCTTTGGTTTTTTCAATAGTTACGTAGATATAAAAATAATAATAAAGTGAATAAAAATAAATAATACAAATTATAAAATTATAAAAAAATACAAATAAAAACCACGACGTTTCGATCGCAACACAAGCGATCATCATCAGGAAAAGGGGGTTATAGCCTCTAAAGGCAAACTGTTGTTTTTTTTACTTTATTATTATTTTTCTATCTACATCACTTTACCGAAGGAACCAAAGAATATGCACCTGGCCTGGCACCGTGGTGACGTCACTGCTACTTAGTGGCGAATTGCGGCTGTTGTATAAACTTTAGTACTCGCATGCAATTTGCCTACAATAGGAACTGTGTGCCTTGGTAAGTAAAGGTGTCCAATACTAAGATGCTATTCATGTGCCATACGCAAAAAATATTATTATTGAAAGGGTTACATCAGCACCATAGAGGCAACGCACCTTTGTAAGAATCGTCTTGCCATAGTTCATGGTGCTCGTCAGGCCCGTGTTGTACGAAACGTTGATGCCATTCTTCTCTTGGACTCCTGCGAGCAGCACAAATGCCTACTTCGTTACAGCTGCTGTAAGTTCGCTATAAACCCGTCGGCCATGCAGCAAAAATGAAACCCGCGGGGCGTTGCTGCACGCACGTGTCGACGCGTTTCTGCACGACAGTGCTCGTGTGTCAGTGAGGGTGCGCGTGCGCACGTCCGGGATCGCGTGGATTCGTACGCTTGCTGCACACGCCGCCATCGGTTTTTCCGGTGGGAGAGGCAACGTAGGCCAAACCCAGGATGCCATCCTCGAAATCCTGGTAGGTGAACAGATGAGCCAGGCACACTTGCGACGCCCGCTCCGACACATCCATGCTGAATTGCTGTCCGGAAAAATGTGCACACATTCACGTGCACAGACAATGCGTACAAAAACACACACACGCACTATTAAATACACGTCACATTTCCCCTCATGAGTAGTGGCATTACACAACGTTGATTTTTCACGGTTTAAATGAGATTATCTGTGAGTTATTCACCACAAGAGCCCCCCTATATGTTAGGGAGGCCACAGCACTCAAGGAGCACATAACACATGGGGAATTAGTGTTACCCCCCTGCCTCGGTTACGTGGGTTTTCTCCAGGCACACCGGTTTCCTCCCACATGTATACACACCCATTAATAGAGTAGGCCAAACATCCTAATATAGGACCACAAACCTTGGCAAACTCTTGGCACCAGATCTAGCTGCCTTCCTGCTCATTTATAGTTTTCACCATGTCTCTACAAAAAACTAGGCATTTAATAATTCTGTAGTGTTTTGAGATGTACTTATGCACGATTTCTTTCACACCGTACGTAGCCAACTGTGCTAATCGGAGCTGTGGATTAAGGACAAACTCAACACAAAAAGCAGTTCTAAAGAAATTAGTTGCCAATCTAGATTTAAAAGTGCATAGCTCCAGTGGCTTCTTAATATCACAAGAGCATTCCAGACTGCCGCAGGAGTGCATCTGAAAGTGCCCGATGCAGTGATCGTTTTTGTTCAATGGTTAACTAAAAGCCACTGCGAGGATGACCGGAGTTTGCATGATGGTTTATGTTCCTTGACGAGATCAGCAAGGTATTGTGGTTCATTTCGACAAACACTGTGTGTAATGAGTAGGAAAATTTTTTCATGAAAGAATCAACAGCATAAAAAAACATATAAATTACTGTTACCCGTAGCAACTCGCTGACATTCCACGCATGAGAAGTGGTGCCCAGACTGGGCGGGCTTGGGAGACCATGAGTGATGGGGCTCGGGGGAGCTTCCATGTTGTAGTGTCGCTCGCCACCCACAACCACCGTGGACTCCTCATGTATCAAGATCTACCGCACACACACAATGCCAACTCACGCATGCGATACTTACAAGTACACAAAGACAAAGATCCCCAGTATAGCCTTAACAGACTTTTGGAGCAAGTGCTCAGTGAGCACCTATAAAGGCCGGCAGAGCACTCGAGGGAGTTGGTGACAAGAACCACACCCAGCCGCCTTCGTCTCTCGAGTGGTAATATTCACACATTGCACCTGGTAATTATTTGAGGCCAGGGGAGGCCCAAGACTGGTTCAGGTAATCATCACTGGTGTTGGCCATGAACACGAATCTAACTCAATTTGCCAGATTCGTAGGGCAGCACACTAACCACGACACTACCGCTCCCCATAAGGAGACAGAAATCATGCTCGTACGCATTTACGCACAGACAGTGCTAACATTCATATGCATCAACCTTTCAAACACACACGCATAGTTCTTGCATACGCACATAGTTATTGCACACACGCAGTGTATGCACACACACAGGCATATCAAATGTACACATGGTATTCTCACGCACTCACACACACCGTGATCACACATGGAAAGTACTCGCACCATACTCGTCACTTCAGCATATCTAAAGTATGCTTAATAACACCCAGAAACATTAAGCCAGGCCACAAAGCCACAACACAGCAGAACAAACGTGAAGAAATACCCACCTCCTGGATCTGGATGCCAACACTGGCTGCCTGTTCACCCCAGTGCGTCCCACGGAAGATGCCATCTACACGGTCGACGAGTTCGATCTGACACGCGAGCAGACAGGTGTGCGAGAATAGGCATGAGTCGCACACAGGCACACACGCACAGCATGAAGCCACGGTCGGACAGCATTCTCCATCACTGGTTTGTAGAGGTTCACAGTTCGAATGCGGCAGACCAGCTAATGTCTTTATTAAAAAATATTACACACTGCCTGCTTCACAGTGGACATTAAACGTCCCATGACAGCATTCAAAATTAGTGGTCATTTTGTGCCGGCGTCATGGTCCAACTGGGACAAATTTGAAAAATGACATGGAAATTTACTTCATTTGCAAAACACAGTAATCATCACCCGCTAAATAGGGAGGGGGGGGGGTCTGCACACTGAGATGATTCTTTACACAATCAAGTGCAATACAAATGCAAGTTGATTCATTAATTTGTCTTGAGAAAACTTGCCAGGACCCTCCTGAGAAAGTCGAGACTTTTCTGCGTAAACAAGCAAAACAAGACGAATTAAGGAAGAGAGTCAAAACGCGGGCTGTGGTCTCAGACTCGCTGCCCTCCCACGCGATAATGAACTGGAATGTTTGCATCAAAATGCTTGAACGGTAAACATGTTACCGGGCAACATGTTCATATCAGTCATTGGTAGATAGTCAATGAGGGTATCATTTTCAGGCATAGCGAGACCTCAACAAAACCTTCTTCAATGGAACAGAAGAATTGTGCATTAGACCCATTGCATTTAGAAGCTGTAACTATCCAAATTGTACCGTACACGTGGAGGACTCAAGTGAGATGATGCGGGGGACACGGTGCGAAGGATTCGTGAAACGAAGAGCAGCAGCTGCAGCAGCATTGTTACAATGCACCACTAGAGGAGAGGCGCATGCTTTGGTTTGGAAATATTCCAAACGTAACAAAGAGCTGCAACGTGTATGCAACATGCATTGTGGAGAGACTTTTAAAAAGGACGGATGTGGGAAAATGTTTAGGAATGCTTGTAGTGAAAAATTGTAACGCTTGTGTTAAGAGGGATTTTTCCCATATTAAATTGAGATGACAGGCGTGGGAAATGGTAGGAAACAGTACCCGGCCTGGTAGCTCAGCGCTAGAGCGAGCAAATCGCAAATAGAAGGTTATGAGTTCAAATTCTCGTTGAAGGTTGACTCAGCCCATCATCCATCTGTGGTCAAGTAAAATAGGTACCACTTGTTTGGGAAGTCAAAAGTGGTGGTTGTCCTATAAAGAGACTCACCCACTGCCATAGGATTGGGGAATCTCCACCACTGGCTCAGGTTCTCTGAACAAGCGATGAGCACCGATGCCTCAATGCTCATTGGGTTAGGGTTACCAAGTAGTTGATGGTGGTCCCCTGTTGGCCCCGCCCCATAGCCTGGAAGAAGCGGAAGTCGGCAACCAGGAGCAGGGTGCACGTGTCCTTCACGGGCTCCCCCATGGCCCCCACCGGGCCCCCTGCAGCAGCGCTACGTTTGGGGCGCATGGCCTCTCCTGTATGCAGAGAGCAACCAAATGCTACAGCACCGTACAATGCCAGTGCATCGAACAGCAGCAGCGTGCTATTGTAGCCTGGGGCAGCAGCATCGTCGTATGAAGTTGGGGATTGTACAGGATATACGGTCATAAAAGCACTGAGTGGAAAGGGCCTGGACAGTATCACGTTTCAAGACCAGGATAGTGTCATATGCAAAAGTGACCTGGGTCACCAAAATGACAAAAGCAAATAACGTTAAACCAAGAGCAACAACTGCTCATAGTGCAATGAAGTTAAAGAAACATGAAAATGAGATAAGGGCAATTATTTCACTCATTTTTAAATAGACGAAGACGTATGTCAAATACAATTTCAAATCAAGCATTTGTACAGAATCTACACTTTAACATTAAACTGTGAATTAGATGGCAAGGGACCCTGGTACTCACCACTATTGGTAGAGCCAAACTGCTGCCCCGGATGCTCCCCAGGACGGCGGCCCTCTTGTTCACCCCCCTTCTTGGCACCACGGGGCAGTCGAGTGGCACAAAAAGGTGCGTGTGAGCCCTGCAGGGCGTCACCCCGGTAAACAACCATGCGTTCATCCTCCGGGTCGCCCGCCAGCCTCCACAGTGGCTGAAAATGTAGAGAAGAGCATCAAATCGAGGTCTATCTTCCTGCTACAGCAAACAGGGATAATTCTATTTTGATTTAAAGCTTTCGTGACTGCAGTAATTCATATTCTTCAACGTGACTTTACCGAAAAAACTAAGAATAGGGATAATTCTAGTTTAACTCATACCATTCAAATGCAACGACATCTCAGAACAAAACAACATATTGGGTGGCAGTGGCATCGCAGTGGTAAAACTCCTCCCTACAGCAAGCAGGACCTGGGCTCAATTCCTGACACGGATTCTTCTCTGTATGGAATTTCTATGTTCTTGTGTGTTCTGCATGAGTTTCTTCCAGTATCTATGGCTTTCTCTCAACACTAAACTAACATACAATTTAAGTAGTACTGGCTAAATATCCCAATGCTAACAAAAATACCTGCAAATTGATCAAATTGGATTACACACAGCAACATCGCCCCCTACCGCAAAAAACATGGCTGGACCATCCTAAAGGTGTTATGGCACTCAAATAAGCTATAACAATAATAACTTTACAAATGACAAACTTGTGGAAGACATGGCTGAAAGAAAGCATGAAAATACATAAATGATATATAGTTTTGAGATAGATGAGAGGCAACTACAGAATAAGGACAGTGCATATATAGATTAAAATACATCTTCAGAAACCTCAACATGGTATTCATCTCCACTGGTGAGGATCCGTGCAGAAAATTCACCCTCCCCAATGTAGGCCTGAACCGAAGAGTTAGAATCTCCTGCACACACGACACCGCACACCACGTGACACACACACACACCACACTGAATTACACATGGCACCACACACCAAGTTACACACAACAACTTAAACACAATACCACAAACCAAGTTACACATGACCCCACATACTCACACAGATACAAGGGATTTCAGTAGTTTGTGGATTGAGGAAGGGGTGCAGTTCACTCTGACGTTGTTACTCTGCTGTTGTTGGTGGTGCACAAACCTTGCACGTATCCCGAGTAGAAGCCATGCGTGTTCAGCGGTAGGGGCTTTACCTCCCCCCACGCATCTTGCATCAGAACCCGAGCAGAGTCGGTGAGGAGGCCACGGCGTGCACTGAGGTGCAGAACGAATTTCCTGCACACGCACACACATGCACGCATAGCATTACACTCACAACACCAACAGCTGCCATTTGCCACTAAGTGGTGGTGACATCACTACAGCGTTTGTGCCAGGCTAAGTGCCCTTCTAGGCTGTCACATGAAGTGTTGAAGGCTCGCTGACAGGCCATGGGAAAATTCCAGGTTAACTACCTATGATAAATGGCAGATGCACCACCTGTGCCCCCCACTGTGCCAACTTATTTCACACTAACAACAACCGCCATTCGCCACTAAGTGGCGGTGACGTCACCACGACGCTTGTGCCAGGCTATGTGCACCTTGAGGCCACGTGAAGTGTCGAACGCCCGCTGGCAGGAGATCACGGGACAGACCCAGATGCCACAGGTGGAATGACTGAGACGACTGGCTGATGCACCACCTTTGCCCCCTACTGTGCCAACTTGCTGTGCTTTGGCCACCCGGCGCTCCGCTCGTTGTTGTGAGCGTCGCTCCTCCACCCTCCGTTGTTGTTGGAGGGCAACTGCCTCCAACTGCCCAGTAGCGTCCTTCACGAGCCTCCTCCACAGAGGCCGATCTTGACACCGCTAGTACCAGTCATCGGCAAGTCCACTCAGCTCCACATCCTCCTGTGCCACATCACTCCATCTCTTCTCTAACCCGTGCCGCGCCCTTTTCACCCCCTTGACCTGGCCGAACAAAGCTGTTTAGGCATGCGGTGGCTGGGCATGCGGGCTACATGGCCCAGCCAACGCAGCCTTGCCTGCCGGAGCTCACCGATGAGATTTTGTCCAGATCTTTCAAGGATTTGTGAGCTCCTCACACAATCCAGCCTAGTTAAATCCAAGATGAATCGTAGGCAGGCGAGCCTAAATGTTTCTAACCGGCGAAGATGTTCCATTAGGAGGGTCCATGTTTCGCAAGTGTAGAGAAGGGAGGGAATGACCGTGGCTGAGAAGACCTGAAGCTTCGTGCGGAGCGACAGACCAGGTAGCTTCCACATAGTGTTACGCAACCGATGAAAAGCTAATGCCGCTCGACTGACTCGGAGTGAGACCTCTGCTGTTAAACTGGAGCCGGTCATGAGCACGCTGCCCAGGTATGGGAAACTCTCCACTCTCTCCACAACTACCCTATCACCAATTGGGAGTTGTGGGGGTGGAGTGTCTGATGGCACAAAATACCCAGGCAGGTGCTTAGTTTTGGTGGGGCTGATGGTAAGGCCCCACCTCTTAGTGGCAAGCTCCAGGTTCAGCAGCAATGCCTCCAACTCCTCTGAGTGAGCAGCAATTACCAAATCATCGGCATACATAACATGGTTGAGCAATAGGGAGCCATCCCTTGACCGCACCCGGGCATCAATCAGCCTCCCATTGTATCTACAGTGAGGGAAAAAAGTATTTGATCCCCTGCTGATTTTGTACGTTTGCCCACTGACAAAGAAATGATCAGTCTATAATTTTAATGGTAGGTTTATTTGAACAGTGAGAGACAGAATAACAACAACAACAATCCAGAAAAACGCATGTCAAAAATGTTATAAATTGATTTGCATTTTAATTATGGAAACAAGTATTTGACCACCTCTCAATCAGAAAGATTTCTGGCTCCCAGGTGTCTTTTATACAGATAACGAGCTGAGATTAGGAGCACACTCTTAAAGGAAGTGCTCCTAATATCAGCTTGTTACCTGTATAAAAGACACCTGTCCACAGAAGCAATCAATCAGATTATAAACTCTCCACCATGGCCAAGACCAAAGAGCTCTCCAAGGATGTCAGGGACAAGATTGTAGACCTACACAAGGCTGGAATGGGCTACAAGACCATTGCCAAGCAGCTTGGTGAGAAGGTGACAACAGTTGGTGCGATCATTCGCAAATGGAAGAAACACAAAAGAACTGTCAATCTCCCTCGGCCTGGGGCTCCATGCAAGATCTCACCTCGTGGAGTTGCAATGATCACGAGAACGGTGAGGAATCAGCCCAGAACTACAAGGGAGGATCTTGTCAATGATCTCAAGGCAGCTGGGACCATAGTCACCAAGAAAACAATTGGTAACACACTACGCCGTGAAGGACTGAAATCCTGCAGCACCCGCAAGGTCCCCCTACTCAAGAAAGCACATATACATGCCCGTCTAAAGTTTGCCAATGAACATCTGAATGATTTAGAGGACAACTGGGTGAAACTGTTGTGGTCAGATGAGACCAAAATGGAGCTTTTCGGCATCAACTCAACTCGCCGTGTTTGGAGGAGGAGGAATGCTGCCTATGACCCCAAGAACCCCATCCCCACCGTCAAACATGGAGGTGGAAACATTATGCTTTGGGGGTGTTTTTCTGCTAAGGGGACAGGACAACTTCACCGCATCAATGGGACGATGGACGGGGCCATGTACCGTCAAATCTTGGGTGAGAACCTCCTTCCTTCAGCCAGGGCATTGAAAATGGGTCGTGGATGGGTATTCCAGCATGACAATGACCCAAAACACACTGCCAAGGCAACAAAGGAGTGGCTCAAGAAGAAGCACATTAAGGTCCTGGAGTGGCCTCGCCAGTCTCCAGACCTTAATCCCATAGAAAATCTGTGGAGGGAGCTGAAGGTTCGAGTTGCCAAACGTCAGCCTCGAAACCTTAATGACTTGGAGAAGATCTGCAAAGAGAAGTGGGACAAAATCCCTCCTAAGATGTGTGCAAACGTGGTGGCCAACTACAAGAAACGTCTGACCTCTGTGATTGCCAACAAGGGTTTTGCCACCAAGTACTAAGTCATGTTTTGCAGAGGGGTCAAATACTTATTTCCCTAATTAAAATGCAATCAATTTATAACGTTTTTGACAAGCGTTTTTCTGGATTTTGTTGTTGTTATTCTGTCTCTCACTGTTCAAATAAACCTACCATTAAAATTATAGACTGATCATTTCTTTGTCAGTGGGCAAACGTACAAAATCAGCAGAGGATCAAATACTTTTTTCCCTCACTGTACAGCTATTGAAGGCTTCACAAACTACATGGTCAAAATAGATGTTAAATAATGTCAGAGCCAGAGAACATCCCTGTCACACCCCAAGGTGTACAGGGAATGGTTCCTACTCCCGGCCACGTAGTTTTACCCGGGCCCGCTCACCATCATGAAGATCCTTAATGATCGTAAGCAGAGGGTCAGGGACTCTGAAAGCACGAAGAACTACCCAGAGCCCATGCCTACTGATTGTATCCTAGGCCTTGACCAGGTCAATAAAGCAGAGATGTAGGTTTTGTTGGAATTCCCTACACCTCTGCTGTAGCAGACAGACAGAAAATATGGCATCTGTGCAGGACCGCCCTTTCCTGAAACCGCATTGGGCCTCCGCAAGCACACTAAATACACTCAAACACGCACACACATACTGGGACACTTAATACACCAACATACCAATACAAAACTCCCCCTATAGTCTCAACAGGCCATTGATGCAAATGCTATGAATGCTATTAGTGAGCACCTATGAAGACCCACACAGCACACGAGGGGGTGATGTGGACAGCACTACGCTCGCCCGCTTTTTTCTCCCGAGTGGAGATGTTTACCCACCATCCCAGGTACTCATTTAAGGCTGAGTCAATCGAGAGATTTCAGAAATTGTATGCAATGAAAGATGCTAGTCAGAGAATTGCACATTTATAGAACAGTGATGCAGCCAATGCTGATATGTTGCAGAGCAATAGAGATGGAATATAGTTCTTGAAAAGGCAAAGACGATAAACCTGATATGATGTTGGGAATATCTCTAAGGAAAAGGAAGAGGAATGAAGAAGCGAGAGCCTTAGCAGGGATTACTAATATTCTCGAGAAGCTAAGGGAGGCGAGACATGGATGTTTTGGGCATGTGGTGAGTTGAGACAAAGAATATTCAATTTGAAGGGCACTGGAGATGCCAACAGGGCGGAAGAGCAGAGCGAGAACCCAGGGTGAGATGGGACACGATGTGGTTAAATGAGATATGAGCATAGTGGATATCACTGGGGAAGAGACACAGCAGACAATTACCTGGAGATAAGAACATCTGAGCAACTGACACCATGCAATAATGGGACTTCTAGTTTGGGAGGAAAAGTCCGCTCACCAAAACAATTTCAGAACATTTACTGTACATCCATCAGACTGGAGAAATCCGATAGATATTCTGTATGGATGTTTTTGGCAGCATTCGCTAATGGATCTAACTTTCTGAATCTCACCAGTAGGATATGACCTGCTCGACAAATGTGGCCAAGGATCAGAAAGTCGAATCCACTACATGCAATGTTGCATAAACACAGGCTCTGGAAAACATTCGTCTAAAAAGGCCCATGGGATAATGGATTTGGGCAGCAGTTTGTGTTATTAATCTCCACACTTCTAGTGCTGCTCGGGAGGGCTCCCCTCACACACGACGAAGGGTCACGATTCCCACACCTGCCAAGCGCCTGGAAGGACACGGTCCTGTCCCGAGGCCCCTCCGCCACGTCCCTCCGGCTGATCCTGTGCTCCATGTGTGAGAGAGAGAGCAGATCGTAGTGCCGCAGAGCCTCCAGACCCCGACCTGCCGGCATGAGTCGGTTAGGGGCGCAACAATGCACAGATGCATTCCTCGATAGAACACGGATTCTCTCGACTCAAGCCAAGGAAGATAACATGTCCGAGTTTACGTTTCCTTATGAGATGGGGGGATTAAAGCAGTGGATGTGCAGGCGCTGCATGGATTCTAAGGATCATTCATGAGAGATAGCGGCGGATGTAGGGAGACTTTCATCCAGCATTGGATTGACCAAAGCAGGAAATTATTACGCCGTTACATAATACTTCAATTGATATGGGTCTCCGGAATTGCCACAACAGATCGAATCGCTGGGTGTGGGGGCGGTGAATCATGACACCCTTAGAGAATGGGGTGGGTCAGGGAGGTGAGGGTGAGGAGGGTGAGGGAAATTAGGGGGGTGAAGGTGATAAGGGTGGCGAGGAAGATCAGGGAGGTCATGGTGGAGAGGGAGGTGGAGGCGGTGAGATCAGGGTGGTGGAGGTGGTTTGGGAGGTGAGGGAAGGGAGGGTGGAGAGGGTGGTTTGGGAGGTCAAGGCGGTTAGGTTCAATTGGCAGATGAGGGGCTTAAGGGGCCATCCATTTAGTACGTACGCAAAACTCTGTCAAAACTTGACCCCTCCCCCCCTCCCTATACACACGCATACTTTTTACACCCCCCTCCCGCCCCTGCGTACGTTCGCTTGACGCACCCCCCCCCGAATCCTATAGAACGGCCGCTATTTAATCCACGCAGATAGTCCACCGCTGGACTATCTAACTAATTTGAAGAGAAATGTAGACAAACTATTATTGAGGCTTCACCTCCCCCCCCCCGTTCCCTATGCATACGTACATTGTCAGTAGACCCCCCCAAACGCAAGCGTACGCATTTGGGTTAAGCCCCCCCCCCCCTTCCATGCGTCCGTACTAAATGGATGGCCCCTAAAGGTGGTGAGAGATATGAAAGTGGTGAGAAAGGTTAGGGTGGTGATGGAGGTGGTTGAGGGCTGCGTTCTGCGTACAAGGGGCCAGACCCGGCTCGGAGCTGATCATGATAGGCGTCATTTAGGACGAGGCCGCAGCTCTTACCCGCAGGTCGCCTCGGCGCCCCGTGCCGTTCAGCCGCGCTCCCCGATCCCGCCGATAGAAGCAGCAACAGGAGCGACAGCGAAATCACAGAGGGATCGGGCCCCGGACCCGGTCCCTCCAGACCAAGTCCGGCCTCCATTGGAACTCCGAGCGCCTTGACGGCGACAGCAGCAGGAGACCGAGGTGTGAGAGCTTCCTGCTGTTGGTCAGCCACGCCCACCGACTACGAGCACCGCCCACGTACCACAAGCCACGCCCATCACACGCAGACATGCCCAGACAACAACAAAAACAACCGTCACGTTACACAAGCAGAGAGAAAGGAGGGATTGACACGGTGGCCAAGGAGACCTGGAGCTTCGTATGGTGCTACAGGCGAGCTCGTTTCCACACAGCCTTATGCAGCCGATGCAAATATGCCGCTCGACTGATTGACACCTCGGCTGTCAAAACGTAACTTGTAATAAGCACATTCTCTTTGGTTCTATTCGGTAAAGTCACGTAGGTAAAAAAATATAAAACAACAAAAATCACGACGTTTCGGCCACAACGCAAGCAGCCGTCCTCAGGTGAAGAAACAGAGCTGTCGGAAAGCTAAAAGTTATTGGCTTCAAGCACCCCGACTCCGCTGCTGATGAGACACTGCGCGTCGAACCCGATCCGCAGTTTTATTGAAACCGGTCCTCTCCGCTTAGCGCGATTGCCTACGTACGGCACGAAAGAAATTCAAATGAATAATGACTCAACGCTGCTGAAACCATGCCGTATCTTACGGATTATGTAAGATACGGTAGAGCTTTATGTTATTTTATATGCGGAGAGACAGCGACATAAGGGAGACGCATTGTCTGCTTATCTATAATGTAGCAATTTAGAATGTCCATTGAGCTGACATCCATCATCATTTGAATACGTTGCTTAGGTTAAAGGTGCAGCCCTGCAATTGCTCGCACGCGCTACTGCTGCTGTAACGACATCCACTCAAGGAAACTCTACAAAGCCCCCCCCCTCCACACACACATTTGATGTTTTGGTATACTCTTCCACGCCGGCCAGACGTCATTGAAGAGGTGGGAGTACTCACACTTTGCCCCACCACACGCGAACTAGCGGTCGACTTAACTGAGGTGAACCCATTGGTACTGCTGGCTGGACAGAGGCGGCGGGGGAGGATTTAAGGAACCTGCCACGGTGGCTAGGAGATGTTGACTCCCTCGCCTGGTATGCAGGAGGTCGTGGGGTTTCGATGCTGACCCTGACGCCTGCTGCTGCTGTATATTTGGAGTCTGCGTGTGTGTCTCTCTCTCATCATCATCATCACGGTGGCTAGGAGATGTTAACTACCTCGCCTGGTGTACAGGAGGTCGTGGGGGTTCGATGCTGACCCTGACGCCTGCTGCTGCTGCTGTATGTTTGGAGTCTGCGTGTGTCTCTCTCTCATCATCATCATCATCACGGTGGCTAGGAGATGTTAACTACCTCGCCTGGTGTACAGGAGGTCGTGGGGGTTCGATGCTGATCCTGACGCCTGCTGCTGCTGCTGTATGTTTGGAGTCTGTGTGTGTCTCTCTCTCACCGTGGTCGCGGGGACTTTTCTCCAGGGTCCTCCGGCTGCTCCCCTCCACGTTTCGCATCAACGTCACCACGCGTTTAGAGTCTTTGCCCGCTGTACATTTCCATGTGATGAGCCTGGTCGCTTCTGATAAAGGAGCTGGAGAGCTCAGTGGGCCTTAGCTGGTAAAGAAATGTTCAATTGTTACATTTTGGTAATATACAGGGTGTTTCACGAAGATGGACTCAATTTCAAAGATAGAGCGATTTCAAATCGGGTCGATCTTTATGAAACAGCCTGTAGTTTTAACTGCCTCGCCAGGAAGATGGAATCGAACCGGCCACCTCTGGATTACACACCCAGTGCCCTGACCGACAAACACACCGCGATGGCAAATTAAATTCCAAGTTGCGTCGAGTTATTCTAAAACCGGACACCTTGGGCTTGGGTTTCCCTGTGAATGTGTTGCCTGGAATGGCATTGAGAGACGAAAAGAGGGGCTCGGGAATTAAAAGAACGCACACACAAAAAAATCCCCCGTATAGCCTGTAACAGACTGTCGGGGCAAGTGCTGTTAGCGAGCAGCACCTATGAAGGTCGGAACGGCACACGAGGGCGTGGGTGGCCAGCACCACGCCCGGCCGCCTTTGTCTCTCCCAGTGGCGATGTTTACTACACACCGCACCAGGTACTCATTTGAGGCTGAGTCGACCTAGGGGAGGCCCAGGACCGGTTAGAATAATCGTCACTGGGCGTCACTTGGCGTTGGCCATAGCGCAGCGCTAACTGCTGCACTACCGCTCCGCATTGAGAGAAATAAAGAGGGACTCGGTAATTAAAGAACGCACACACACACACACACATGTGCACACACACACACGTGCACACACACACGTGCACACACACACACGTACACACAAAGAAAAAACAAAGATCCCCCATATAGCCTTAACAGACTGTAGGGGCAAGTGCTGTTAGCGAGCACCTATGTGTGCGTACACACACGCACACATACACACACACGAGTTTCCATTCGGCAAGGTCCAGTCCGTCCGAGACCATCCCTCTACCTGGCACACTGGCATCGCATGCCCGGTCCTCACCCTTCGTCCTGCGGGTGGTGTGCCCACAGGACTCGGGCCCGGTGGGCGAGCTTCAGATTCAGGAAGGACGGCGGACGGTGCCGACACGGTCGTGGAACAAGGGACCGGCTCTCTTCCCTCTCACAGATTTTGCTTTGTTTTTTAGGGGCCATGGGGGTACGCCAGTGCCGGATGAAGCTAGTGCGGTGCCTGTTGCATATGTTATAAAAGGGGACCCTAGATAAAATAAAATAAAAACACGTAAATATTAAAACACACACGTTTGTAACCTTTATCGTAAAGTAATTGTATTTTTGCATTTGTTATACGGCCAGATAATACGACAAATCGCTAACCTTAAACACCCAGTCGTTCATAAAAGTAGTATAGTACTATAGTAATAGAGCAAGTGCAGAATCACTGAAGCGGAATTGATAGCTTGAAAGCATTTAGCGCGGGGCCCGTAGCATGTGTAGCTACTTTTGCCACGAGGATTATCCGGCACGTGTGGTAGACCGCTTCTCCGGTCTACACGCGCGCACACACACATGCACACACAACAACAACAACCGCCATTCGCCACTAAGTGGCGGTGACGTCACCACGACGCTTGTGCCAGGCTATGTGCACCCTGAGGCCACGTGAAGTGTCGAACGCCCGCTGGCAGGAGGTCACGGGGCAGACCCAGGTGCCACGGGTCGACTGACTGAGATGACTGGCTGATGCACCACCTGTGCCCCCTACTGTGCCAACCTGCTGTGCTTTAGCCACCCGGCGCTCCGCTCGTTGTTCTGAGCGTCGCTCCTCCGCCCTCCGTTGTTGTTGGAGGGCGACTGCCTCCAACTGCCCAGTAGCATCCTTCACGAGCCTCCTCCACAGAGGCCGATCTTGACACCGCTGGTACCAGTCATCAGCAAGTCCACTCAGCTCCACGTCCTCCTGTACCACATCACTCCATCTCTTCTCTAGCCCGTGCCGCGCCCGCTTAGCCCCCTCAATCCGGCCGAACAAAAGCTGTTTCGGCATGCGGTGGCTGGGCATGCGGGCTACATGACCCAGCCATTGGAGCCTTCCCCGCCGGAGGAGCTCACCGATGGGACCTTGCCCAGATCTTTCAAGGATTTTTGAGCTCATCACACAATCCAGTGTGGTTAAACCCAGGATGGATCGTAGGCAGGCCAGCCTAAATGTTTCTAACCGGCGAAGATTAGGGGGGTCCAAGTTTCGCAAGCGTAGAGAAGGGAGGGAATGACCGTGGCCGAGAAGACCTGAAGCTTAGTGCGGAGCGACAGACTAGGTAGCTTCCACACAGTGTTACGCAACCGATGAAAATATATTGCCGCTCGACTGATTCGGAGTGAGACCTCTGCTGTTAAACTGGAGCCAGTCATAAGCACACTGCCCAGGTATGGGAAACTCTCCACTCTCTCGACAACTGCCCCATCACCGATTGAGAGTTGTGGGGGTGGAGTGTCCGATGGTACAAAATACCCAGGCAGGTGCTTAGTTTTGGTGGGGCTGATGGTAAGGCCCCACCTCTTAGTGGCACGCTCCAGTCTCAGTAACAGCGTCTCCAACTCCTCCTCCGAATGTGCAGCTATTACCAAATCATCAGCATACATAACGTGGTTGAGCAATAGGGAGCCATCCCTTGACCGCACCCGGGCGTCGATCAGCCTCCCATTATATCTGTACCATATGGAGATTCCTGCGGTACAGCTATTGAAGGCTTCACGAACTACGTGGTCAAAATAGATGTTAAATAATGTGGGAGCCAGAGGACATCCCTGTCGCACCCCAAGGTTAACAGGGAATGGCTCTGACTCCCGGCCACGTAGTTTTACCCGGGCCCGCTCACCATCATGAAGGTCCTTAATGATCGTGAGCAGAGGGTCAGGTACTCCAAAAGCACGAAGAACAACCCAGAGCCCAGGCCTACTGATGGTATCATAGGCCTTGACCAGGTCAATAAAGCAGAGATGTAGGTCTTGTTGGAATTCCTTACACCTCTGCTGTAGCAGACGGACAGAAAATATGGCATCTGTGCAGGACCGCCCTTTCCTGAAACCGTATTGGGGCTCCACAAGCCTCTCCTCAGCGTGCCTGGCAAGGCGATGTAGAATAATCCTTGCCAGGACCTTTCCCAGCACACTGAGGAGTGAGATGCCCTGTAGTTGTTACAGTCTGTGCGGTCCCCCTTCTTAAAAAGGGGGACCACCAGGACATCCTTCCAATCCTGCGGAACCCGTCCAGTGGCCCAGACTGTTGTTATGATGTCATATAGGGCAGTCTGTGCACAGGACCTTTCCCAGCACACTGAGGAGTGAGATGCCCTGTAGTTGTTACAGTCTGTGCGGTCCCCCTTCTTAAAAAGGGGGACCACCAGGACATCCTTCCAATCCTGCGGAACCCGTCCAGTGGCCCAGACTGTTGTTATGATGTCATATAGGGCAGTCTGTGCACAAACGCCGCCCTCCCTCAGCATTTCGCTTGGGAGATCATCTCTGCTCGCTGCCTTTCCTGGTCTCAGACTCCGAATCGCCTTCAGTTCTTCCTCAACAGATGGCACCTCAGCCAGCCACGCACAGGGGGTGACTTCTTCCAATATTTGAGGCACCGCAGCCTCAGCAGGGTCATCCTCACTTTGTGCCACGATGTTTTCCTGGCTGAGGGATTTTCCCTCCCCCAGGACCTCACAGAAATGCTCAGCAAATCTGCAAACCTGTTCCTGGGGGTCGGAGATTGGGTCACCGTTTTTTCCCATAATGATGGTAATAGGTGTGGCGCTGCAGATTACTTTTTGATGGAGTTAAATAGAGATTTGTGATCACAGGTCACTGAGGCAGACTCCATCTCCTCAGCAACCCGCGACCACCACCCATCCTTGCAGCGCCTCACGGCTCTCCGAACCTCCTAGCGAAGGCTGCGGTAAGCCTCCTCATTCTCTGACGTGGATTCTGTAGCCGATGACAGTGGGCCTGTCGCTTTTTCTCAACCATCCTGAACACCTCCTCTGTCAGCCAGGGTCTCTGGGGAGGTCTGGACCGCGTACCCAAAGCAGCCATTGCAGCTGCATGAGTCAGAGTCCTAAACCTCGCCCATTTACCCTCGACCTCAGGAGGAGTCAGGGACGATGCGAATCCCAGCCGCAAACGATAGTGAAATTCTCGCTTGCAACTTTCATCAGATAACTGAGACCAGGCCACTTTAGGTTGGAATGGGGTCCTGGGTGTACACCCACCACCGGAGCGGAAGAATGGCAGGCGCATTTTACAGATGACAATTCGATGGTCAGAGGGCAGATCAGCTCCACGTTAGGTCCTGGTGTCAAGGACATGGGCTCGTATCCGCTCGTCCGTCACTATGTAGTCCAGCAGATGTTCTTGCTTGCACACACACACACGTGCGCACACATATACACACACGTGCACATACACACGAGTCATTATTCATTTGAATTTCTTTCGTGCCATACGTAGGCAATCGCGCTAAGCGGAGAGGACCGGTTTCAATAAAACTGCGGATCGGGTTCGACGCGCAGTGTCTCATCAGCAGCGGAGTCGGGGTGCTTGAAACCAATAACTTTTAGCTTTCCGACAGCTCTGTTTTTCACCTGAGGACGGCTGCTTGCGTTGTGGCCGAAACGTAGTGATTTTTGTTGTTTTATATTTTTTACCTACGTGACTTTACCGAATAGAACCAAAGAGTATGGATCCTTGCAGTCACGAAAGCTTTAAATCTAGAATAAGCACATTGCCAAGTTATGGGAACTCCACCCTCTCGACAACTACCCTTTCACTTATGGGGTTTGAGAGGGTGGAGTGTTTTATGCCGATCACTGCCCGACGGATTTTACGCATTTTCTGTAGTCAGGCCCCTGGTGATGCTGTTGTATTGCCAGGTATTGCAAAAGCGCAAATAAACAAAAACACTCAACATATCCATCTGTAAAGCTACCCTAAGGGGCCGTCCATAAATGACGTCACGCGATTTTGGACGATTTTTGACCCCCCCCCTCGTCACATGGCGTCACAAAGTCAGACCCCCCCTCAAATATGACGTCACAAAGTTCTGCCATCCCTCCCCCCCCCCCCATGCAATATTTCAATTTTGAAAAGAAAACATGCTTCAAATCGCTTTACACTATTGTCATTGTAGTTCGCACTCTGATGTTTTAGGCGAAAACGTGTATTAAAAAGGCGTTGGAAAGCTGAAATTTAGCATAAAATTCACTTGAAAATATTCGTCTAACTAAAACTGCAGATGTTCAGAATATGATATTTAAATTATCTTATAATTATCATAATTATATTAAAAGTAATTATTACTATAAAAAATACTTTAAACTTCGTAGTAGAATTAAGCAAAATGGAGAGTACAATTAAAACAATCACATATTCATTCCACAGAATGAAAAGCCCTGGTAGAATGTTGAATAACTACATTTATGCTTCTTCGTTCTCCGATGGAGAAGCAAAATGCTCCTTCATGGAATAAATAAAAGGTGACCTTAGTAAATTTAAATAATCAAATAGTTAATAATGAAAAATAATCTAAATTAGTGTTGTTAAAACAATTATATTTGAGTGTTTCAGTTTTCATTTATTTGGTATAGCCCTGTGAGCCATTCGGCTCTTGTATCGGGTGCAACCTTAACAAACAAAAACATGAACAAGAAAACATCTTTAAGTGACTATGTGTTTATTAAGTAGAACGTGTTGTTTATATTTAAAGTAGCGCATTTTTATGTAACGTCACATTTCTCAACCCCCCCCCCCCTCGTCACACATCGTCACAAATGTCTGACCCCCCCCCCCCCCAGGTGCGTGACGTCATTTATGGACGGCCCCTACACGTCAACATGTAATGGGCGACGTTTTTACCAATGGCCCTTATTCGTAGCACCTGTTGTTCATTGCACATAAACATGCTTTTGTTGAAACACCGCCTGTCGTTTCATCTTCAGGTCGTTATTGAGGAATGTGTTGAGGTTTCCCCTCCACTATAGAGTCGAGACAGTCACGGTCACCGTAGATTTGTAAGGGGTGATCAACGCAACATTTATTTTGTTCTATCTTTCGGAGCACAGCGACCACCACACAAGTCCACACGACAGGAGGCGATTTTTTAAAATACTAACAATTTATTTTGACTAAGTATTACAGCTACATCAGCAACAGCATAACTGTATGAAACACATTAAATGTAACTAGTCAAATTAAGCATCGAACGCCAACGCGGCGCCGAGAAATGGTACGTCAATTCCTCTCCCTTAGCACCAACCTCCCTTCCCTCGACCACAACCAGCCCTCGACGTTGTCACCATCAACCCTTGGCTCCATACCTCGCCCTGAGCCATCCCGCACGGGGGAAGCCGGCACTAACGGATGCTTGCCTGATCCCAACAAATGTCGAAGCCCCAAGTTTCGTTTGCAACAGATGGCAGTGATATGTAGCGATCAATAATACTGCGATGTAAGGCACAACACTGAGCAAGGCGACTGGCACACCTCAACGCAACATGTGGCAACAAGAGAAGTGAAATAGGCTACGGATGCACACCCACACTATTTCAGAAAACATCTTCGGCACGCGTCCAGCACTACAGGGAAATCCTATTATAATCCCAGGCGTGGATCTCTCTCAGGAAAGTAATAACGGGCCATGTGAACCATTACTAGGGTATCCGAGCTTAGCGTCTCAGGTACTGGATATCTCTACAGAGATTCATAATGGCTGTCAGAACTACGATTGATTTGCTCAAAAGGTACTTGTCAGATGAATTGGGCAGTGCCGCATCTGCAGTGTTAGTGGGACACGACTCTTCTCATTGCCAACTCCGTCACACTGCGAGGGCCAGGATTAGCACAACATATAACAACGCCGCGGCACTGCTTTGCAGACAATCCAGATTCGTTTTTATTGACGCTCGTTTATCCAGGTAATATCATAGTTTTGGGATGTAATACCAGCCACATTGTATGGGCTCTTTTTCAGATGAAAAACAGCATCTAAGTCATACAACTGCTTTGCACTGCAGAGTCATTGGAAGAACAAAAACCTCACATCTGCCAATGCAAGGCAGCACGTGCACCTCAAAATAACTTTGTTGGGGTCTGACATTACAAGCAGTGATGGAAGCCCGATCTGGCAATTCTGAATTGATGTTCATAACCCCCAATTATCAAGTTGCCCGGCTTTAATATGTACTCTTTAATACGTACTTTAATACGTACACACATTATATCTGTGATCCCATCAGGCTTAAAGGTAGCGGCAGCAGAAGGGCACAAAGCCATTCTTGCATCCCGTTTACATACACACTTTCATATACTCTACAGGGACCTGTGAACGTTCGTGTCATGTTCCCACTCCTATAAAACATGTCATAAAAATATTAATGTTTTAAATATCTTATTGCAAGCTCTCATGCAAACGTGGGTTTCAGCATGTGATCCCAGGCATATCAACATTGAAGCCAGCTTGTCCGATCTGCCTGATCGTCGTCGGCTTTGAGACGATGCCTCTTCACAGGTCATCATCCCCAATCCCCTCAAAGGCATCATTTTCCAAGTAGCCATCGCCACTTCCTCCACGCACTTGGCTCCCTCTGCTTGCCAACCCGCCAACCAAGGCTGAGCACGCAAGGCCACGCAGCGACATAGAAGACAACTTGCTCTGCAAAGCAAACCAGAAACACACCGATGCTACACCACCCCAGCAAAGCAGCTGTAACCCGAACCCACATTACATTCAAGAGACTGTGGCTCCACTTAAAACGAGAATTTGGCAGCGCTAATCCCTAATGATGACCCAAAGTTAGTGGTGCAATTTCTTTATTCATGTGGTATGGTTCCGTCTCTCCACAGGCCACCTACTAGTGACCTTCCTACCATATGTATGGACGTGTGCTAAACATCTTGAATAGTGTCAAAAGAGACTTGCCTTTGTCTTGCTGTTGTATTATGTACAGGTCATACAGAATGGAATCGTAACAGTGACATGGAAGTGTGATCCGAGTAAACTCATGACTAGAAACTAGAGCCATGGTCCAAGGACAGAACTACAGGTACACTTCTGGTGTGTACATCGTACTCTCTGCACTCTCTTGAAGCATTCCCATGGCTGATTCCATTGTCAATGCGTGCAGTATTGCATGGTCACAAGCAGACTGGCAGCAAGGGCCAACTGCACCACAGCAACACTTAAGATATTCTCGATTCCCAGAAGAATATGACTAGTGCCCATAACTTTCGCGTTCATCTTATTCACTATACAGCAAACCCTTTATCTGCGAGGGTTACGTTCTTGAAAACATTTACGAATGCAGAATTCGCGAATGCAGAAACCTTGTTCCAATGAGAAAAATTGGGTTGCGTTCCTGGTATAAATGAACATAGGGAGGGAATCATAAATGTTTAACAATGACTACAATCACGTTAAGAACTGTGTGTTTTTTATCTTTGATTATGACAATTTGACAATGGAGATGGTGAGGAATTCAGGACGACTCCTCAGGAGATGCAGGTTTTTGATAACTGTCTGTTGTTATCATAAATCTTGACTTAGGGGACGTCCATAAATGACGTCACGCGATTTTGCCCCCCCCCTCAAATGACGTCACAAAGCTCTGCCCCCCCCCCCTAAAAAATGAAACATGCTTCAAATCGCTTTAAACTATTGTCACTTTAGTGCGTATGTAATGTGGCGCTGAACTTTGATGTTGTAGGAGAAAACATTTATTAAAAAGTCTTTAATTAAGTTGAACGTGTTGTCTATATTTATTTAAAGTTGTGCATTTTGATGTGACGTCACATTTCTCAAACTCCCCCCCCCCTCGTCACACATCGTCACAAATGTCTGACCCCCCCCCCCCCCAGGTGCGTGACGTCATTTATGGACGGCCCCTTAAAGCTTTCGTGACTGCAGGAATTCATATTCTTTGAGTCTTTCGCTAAAGTCAGTAGATAAGTTCAAAGAAAATTAACAAAAAACTACGACGTTTCGATCGCAACACAAGCAGTCGTCATCAGGAAAAGGGGGTTAGCTTCTAAAGTCAAACTGTTTATAAAGGTTTGAAATGGGCATAGCCCAAATGTCAGCAGCATCGGCGAGGCAGATAATGTTAATGTAGGTGGTGGGCGGCGACCGCGACGGTGATGGGTTTTCCACCAATTAAAGGGCTGCCAGGTAAAAGTTAGCATGTTAATGTGAGAGATTAGCATGTTAATGTAAGAGATTAGCATGTTAATGTGAGAGATTAGCATGTTAATGTAAGAGATTAGCATGTTAATGTGAGAGATTAGCATGTTAATGTAAGAGATTAGCATGTTAATGTAAGATCGGAGAGCAGCCTTCACGTCGAGCGTGCTGAGGTGGCTATGTTAATGTGAGAGATTAGCATGTTAATGTGAGAGATTAGCATGTTAATGTAAGATATTAGCATGTTAATGTAAGAGATTAGCATGTTAATGTGAGATCAGTAAGCGGCCTCCACGACAAGCGCGCTGAGGTGGCTATGTTAATGTGAGAGATTAGCATGTCAACGTAAGATCGGTGAGCGGCCTCCATGGCGAGCGTGCTGAGTTGGCTATGTTAATGTAAGAGATTAGCATGTTAATGTGAGAGATTAGCATGTTAATGTGAAAGATTAGCATGTTAATGTGAGAGATTAGCATGTTAATGTAAGAGATCAGCATGTTAATGTAAGAGATTAGCATGTTATTGTAAGAGATTAGCATGTTAATGTGAGAGCGGCCTCCACGTCAAGCGCGCTGAGGTGGCTATGTTAATGTGAGAGATTAGCATGTTAATGTAAGAATGCAGAGCCGCCGCCGCCACCTCGAGGTCGGTGCGCGAAGGTGGCTGTGTTAGTGTGAGAAATTTAACCTGTTAATGTAAAATCGGAGAGCCAAAAATAACAACTAATATTCTTTAGGTCTTTCGATAAAGCCACATAGATAGAAAAAAAATATATAAAAATATCAGTGATATTTTTATTATTTTTTCTATATACGTGGTTTTACTGAAAGACCCAAATAATATTAATTCCTGCAGTCACGAAATCTTTAAGTCAAGATTTAATAACTAACATCGGAAGGAGGTAGGATGGGAACATCACAGCCAGTTTTGACTTAAACTGGTTGATAATGTCCTTGCAATGATTGCTAAGTTTGTACCAATCTTCTCGGTTGAAATTGTGTCTGTATATTTGGATGGTTTCATGAAGGAATCTTTGTTGATAGCCAAACTTAAACTGGTTGATAGCGTATTGCATGTCAGGGATCACATCCTTCACAGATGGGATCAGATCACGAATTTTATGTACTGTGTTAAATCGAACCTGGATCTTGTGTTTGCTCATGATTTTGGAAATCTTTTTTATGACCCCTGCTATGTATGGCAAGGTGATGGCTTTGATTAGTCCCATCTGTGAAGGATGTGATCCCTGACATGCAATATCCTGGTGTCTACAAACTAAGCTGTGTCTTGCGGATGTAGTTAAATTGTGGAAACTAAGCGACATGTCTCGGACCGTGTTCGTGAACATAAGGCGGATCTGTAACACGGTAGGACCAATACCTCGGCCGTGGCTGATCATTGTTTGAATGCGGTGGGCTCACACGAAATTGATTTCTCTAAGACAAAAGAACTTTGCAAACCCACCACCGTCACGGTAGCTGCCCACCACTTACATTAACATTAGCTGCCCTGCCAATGCTGCTGACATTTGGGCTATGCCCATTTCAAACCTTTATAAACAGTTTGACTTTCGAAGCTAACCCCCTTTTCCTGATGAATGCCGCTTGTGTTGCGATCGAAACGTCATCGTTTTTATTCTCTTTGAACCTATCTACGTGACTTTACCGAAAGACCCAAAGAATTTTGTTATCATGTTCACACTCTGGGGAGCGCTACCCGTTATACTTTCCTTGATTGCATTTGAGTTATTTTAATACACAATAGCGAGTTCAGAGCGGGATTACTGTAAGACTGAAGACTACACGGGCAGCAGAGGGGGTGTGCCTAATCTTCACAGTTTCAAATGTAATAATCTGCACACTCCTCCCTGATGTGAGTGGTCTGGCATGTACACTCGCGAATACTTGAGTCCGGCAAGTCGCGAATAGGGTTTACTGTATCTGCAATGCTGAGGCACGTTAAAAAGGCCTCCTAATTGATTACTGCATCCCCTGAACGGCCTGCCAAGCCCTAAAAAAAATAAACACCCCTGCACTGGTGTCATGAGAGTTATCCACTCTTGGCGATGTTCCACTGAGTTGAGAGTCTGTCAGACCTGTACAGGCAGCTGGCTGCAATCAGGTAAAGATGTGACCAAAGTGCTGTGAAAATTGCATCTGCATTGTGGAGGGAGAAAACCTGAAGCTTGGTTTGAGGATCTAAGACCACACTCAGCCAAACACCAATAAAGGCAGTTTTGTATAATGACAGTGGAGATAATTATTCTTGTCTGAACTTACAGACACTCTGACCGTGGGGAGTTCTTTTGCAGATTCTGGGGACGTCTGAAAAGGACACAAAATTCATGTGAAACAACTCCCTCAAAATGTCACCCTCCTGCGGAGGGAGCTGGTAGGAACGTTGGGTTGCTCAGTCAATGGCCAGGGTCAACGGCGGCGTGGTGTATTCCGCAAATATGCCGGACTGTGAGGGCGGGCACAAGCCGGCGTGAGTAGGTTAAACGTTGAGTTTTATAAGGGCACCACGGGGTGACCAGCCCCTCCCCACCCAGCCCCACCCCTCCCACCCCCCACCCAGCCCCACCCACCCCACCCAGCCCCTCCCCACCCTCCCCTCCCCACCCAGCCCCTCCCCACCCTCCCCTCCCCACCCAGCCCCTCCCCACCCTCCCCTCCCCACCCAGCCCCACCCTCCCCACCCAGCCCCTCCCCACCCAGCCTCTCCCCACCAGCCCCACCTCCCCACCCAGCCCCTCCCCTCCCCACCCAGCCCCTCCCCTCCCCACCCAGCCCCTCCCCTCCCCTCCCTACCCAGCCCCTCCCCTCCCCACACAGCCCCTCCCCACCCAGCCCCACCCTCCCCACCCAGCCCCTCCCCACCTAGCCCCTCCCCACCAGCCCCACCCTCCCCACCCAGCCCCTCCCCTCCCCACTCAGCCCCTCCCTACCCACCCAGCCCCTCCCCACCCTCCCATCTCCACCCAGCCCCAACCCTCCCATTTTTGGATGCACGACAGACGAACGGACACAATAATCCCCTGTGGGCTGGTGTAACCAGGAGGTTCCTACCAGTAATATGGTGACTGTAACTATATGGAGTGCAACTGCATGGCTGAACACAGCACTGATGCTCACTTATGGAGACGTGTGTGTAATTGTTTATGTGGCTGTAACACTATAATTTCAACTTGTAACCCACTGCTGCCACATGGCATTCATTCCCTCTCATAGGAAATAACTCTGAGGTGCAATGAGGAACCACAGACAAGCAGAAAGGCCACCACGCGATGAGCCGGCGACACAATTGTCCAAGCTTTGTGGTTCTCTATATATTAAGATGTTAATGAGTACTGTATTTCGGTGTGGGAGGAAACCAAAGCACCCGGAGAAAAGCCATGCATATAATTGGGAAACACTATCGCATACAAGGAACAGGTGAAGCCCACATTGTTGTTGTACCACGTTCTCCGAGCAAGCCAGGGTAAGACACCTCGACACCCAAAGGGAATTTGTGTGATGATCCACCAAGCCTCGCTGCCTCCAATGTGCTGGATTATAGACCAGGTGTAAAGCCAACATCACCACCTGGCTGTTGTTTGCATGTGTGGCTGCTGGTGTTGTGTGCATGCAGTCGTTTGGCTGTAAGTGGCGGTGTGTGGGTGCATGCTTTGTCGTGTGTAGTGGTCGTGTATGTTACTTGAGGAGGAGAATGTTTGTTCGAGAACTCCACCCGGCTGCTCAGACGTCCTCTCTTCATCTGCGGCCGCACCAAATGACACTGCATGAAGCCTCGGTTCTTTTCCTCACGCATCTCAACAAGTCTGGCCTACTTTGACAGGATATAGTTTCAGGTATCTCTATGCTAGACATGGCTCTATAGCTTCAAACACTCCTCATATAACAACGGCAACATAGAGTAGCGTAGATGAGGAGCTGGGCACATCGTCAGGAAAGAACACAAAGTAGGTGACACAAAGACTTCGTCGTTGAAAAATAATCGAGCAGCCAACCCCAGCTGACAGGTGGGCTATGAGGTTGGTATGTTTGAATGTACAGTGTGGAAGTACAAACAGTGAAATCTCAACATGAAACTCTTCAGTGGACTGAATACATTGAATGTCTGATCGAGAAAATTTAATCAGGGAATATTACTTTCTACCAAGGAGCATGTGTTTACTGCTATACGTGTCTCCCACTCTGCTTCTCTTGCATTGCCTCTCTGATGCTGTATTTCTCTATCGCTCCAAACTCTCTCTCACTCCATAATGCTCTCGTGCGGCAGCTGGTCCTCATTAGATCACCATGCTGTGTATCTCCACTCCTGCTCCACATGGCCTTGTGCTCACTAAAGATGCACCATAGTAACAGCTTCATTATGGACCACGTCATTATGAGTGTGGAGCTATGTGGAGAGCATTCTTGTCAAGTGCAGCAAGAGATTGAAATATACGTGGAATATTGACACAGGAGATATATGAGCATACAGCATGAAGAAGCATTGAGCGAGAGAAGCATCGCTATGCATCGTTCTGATGTGAAGCGCAGCATGTCATTGTTTTAGAACTTCCCAGCGTAACAATGAGGTAGATTTGTGTATAAAATGTATTTATTTCATACATGCAGAATTGCCAAGGAGATATTTGTAATATGAGAAGATGACATGTCCATGGTAAATTTTTGGACCAATCAATTAAGGTCATAGCTGCGGGAAAATGCAAAGAAATGAGAACACCTTCTTTGGTTCTTTCGGTAAAGTCACGTAGAATGAGACTAAAATAATAAAATAACACAATAAAATTCTCACGACGTTTCGGCCACAACGCAAGCGGCCATCTTCAGGTGAAAGGTACAGAACTGTCGGGACGACAGAGCTTCAATGAACAATGTTAAGATTCGTAGCGACTTTTAAGCTGGTTGGGAGAAGTGAGGCGCCTTGACAAAGGGGTTTACATATCAAATAGCTGAGGGATCAGCTTGTGACTGGTCACAGGAATGGCTATGTTAAAGTCAAAACCTACACATCCACAGAGGCTACGAGTAATTTAGCATTGAAATAGCTAAGGGATTAGCTTGTGCAAATAGCTGAGGGATTAGCTTGTGACTGGTCACGGAAATGGCTATGTTAAAGTTAAAACCTACACATCCAGAGGTAACTAGTAATTTAGCATTGAAATAGCTAAGGGATTAGCTTGTGACTGGTCACAGAAATAGATGTTAAAGTAAAGGCCTACACATCCACAGACCTTCAATGAACGCTGTTAAGATTTGTAGCGACTTTTAAGCTGGTTGGGAGAAGTGAGGCACCTTAACAGCGTGCATTGAAGCTCTGTGGATGTGTAGGCCTTTACTTTAACATCTATTTCTGTGACCAGTCACAAACTAATCCCTTAGCTATTTCAATGCTAAATTACTAGTTGCCTCTGCGGATGTGTAGATTTTGACTTTAACATAGCCATTTCCGTGACCAGTCACAAGCTAATCCCTCAGCTATTTTATATGTAAACCCCTTTGTCAAGGTGCCTCACTTCTCCCAACCAGCTTAAAAGTCGCTACGAATCTTAACAGCGTTCATTGAAGCTCTGTGAACGTGTAGGCCTTTACTTTAACATCTATTTCTGTGACCAGTCACAAGCTAATCCCTTAGCTATTCCAATGCTAAATTACTAGATACCTTTGTGGATGTCTAGGTTTTGACTTTAACATAGCCATTTCCGTGACCAGTCACAAGCTAATCCCTCAGCTATTTGCACAAGCTAATCCCTTAGCTATTTCAATACTAAATTACTCGTAGCCTCTGTGGATGTGTAGGTTTTGACTTTAACATCGCCATTCCTGTGACCAGTCACAAGCTAATCCCTCAGCTATTTGATATGTAAACCCCTTTGTCAAGGCGCCTCACTTCTCTCAACCAGCTTAAAAGTCGCTACGAATCTTAACATCGTTCATTGAAGCTCTGTCGTCCCGACAGTTCTGTACCTTTCACCTGAAGACGGCCGCTTGCGTTGTGTCCGAAACGTCGTGAGAATTTTATTGTGTTATTTTATTATTTTATTCTCATTCTACGTGACTTTACCGAAAGAATCAAAGAAGATGAATCCTTGCAGTCACGAAAGCTTTAAATCGAATTTAAATGAGAACACGTGAACAAGGTGTCACTGTGATGAGAGCATTGGTTCACCTTGCGAATCTTTCCTCCTGACTTTTTAATCATGAGCTCATCCACCATGCCCTGTAAGCAGATGCTCATCATAATAGCCTGTGGGCAGCACACAGACACACACTCATATTAGCGTTCCCATGTCATGCATATATATATACACACCGTGTTAAATTCCCCAAATAAATTCTGTATCTCTCGCCATTGCCCACCTGCTGGCTGGAGATGCTGATCCACTGTAGTTTGTCCTTGGTGATGAGATACTCAAAGGCAAGTTCAAGTCGAACTTCAGCTGGCGAGGTGGTGGCCCGAAGGGTGGCTGAAAGAGGGGGGGCACTGACCAACCCATTGGATGCAGCAACCTGCTAGACACCGCAAAACCCACATAAATATGCCAGATGCCGTGATGCCGCGAGAGCCAGGTGTAATCACGCAGGTGCTGTGACAGTGCTAGAGAGCCAGATGTAATCGCGCAGGTGTTATAGGTAGTGGCCATATCTCACGCTGGGTGCGCCGTGTCGGGCAGCAGTTGTCACGCATGACGCGACTCGCCAACATCGCATACGTGTGACCTTGAAGCTCCCCTCTTTGGCCTGGTCACTTGACAGGAGCACGCGGAAGTTCAACTCCTTGTTCCCCACAGCAACGATCACTTTGCATCCTTTCTCCGGGAAATCCGTTATGCAAGGGTCAAACTGCAGGTACCCATAGTATTTGAGAGTTTGTGAAAACTGGATGTACTGCAAAAACAGTCGACAAAACATGTAATTATATATGACGTTTACCATGCAGAGCGTCACTTAAAATGGATTAAAAGGTGCACGATAATTACTCCACTTCCTAATCCTCGTCTTCACCCCACCCTACCTCCTTTTTAGATCCCTTGTCCTGCAGAGACTTTAGTTGTTGAAGCTGCTCCTTGCTGGCCACAATCCAGCCTCTCTCCACGTCACTCACCGCCTACACAGTCACACGCGCCCTTCAATTGCCAAACAATGGCACCGTTTTCCCCCGCAGTCACGCTGCATACATATATAGTTGGACTTACCAGTGGCCAGGTGGCTTAGTAGAAGAGCGAGCAGCTCATAGGGTGCGAGTTCAAATCATTATTGGGGTTTCCTCAGCCCATCATCCTACTAGAGATTTATAAAACTAGTACCACTTTTCTAGTACCACTTTGTCCTGAGGATAAATTGAACCCTTTCAAGAATGGAGAATTTTTATCACTGTGTAGAGACAGTTAGAGGTCTCTGGGTGTCGCACCAGCCACAGTGCTGGAGGGGCGCCGAGCGCCTCGATTGGTGGAGTTAAGGGCACGTGATCGGAAGCGGGGAGCTCCGGCCTTCTGTTTCAGTTTTCAGTTTCATTTATTTAGTATAGCCCTGTGAGCCAATCGGCTCATGGATCGGGTGCAACCGCAACAAACAAAAAACATGAACAAGAAAACATCTTAAAGTGACTATGTGACTGTGCAAACAGAAAATCCAGGAAAAAACAGCAAAATATTCCAGAAAAAGCACTGTACACCAACGCTGTGTGCAAAATTCTCAGTGGGATGCAAGTCAAACAACAACAACCACAAGACAACTTAGTATTCTTGGTTCTTTCGGTAAAGTTACGTAGAAGGGAAACAATAAAATAATAAAAAAATAAAAAAATAAAATTCACACGACGTTTCGACTGCCACACAAGCAATCATCATCAGGTGTGAAAACCACAACAAGAAAATTTGAAAAAAGTGGTGGTTTTTTAACGTTAGCACCACAGATAGCGATTTGACAGTTTGTTCAGATGGACGAGTCCATCTATGTTTGGAAAAGAGAAGGGGAGACGAAAAATAATGGATGCGGTCCGAAAGCCACCTTAAGCGTGATCAATCAATTATGACCCGAAATGGTTTATCAAATCCTTCCAATGATTGCTAAGCCAGAATCCATCTTCTCGGTTGAAATTGTCTCTGTGTCTGTATATGTGGATAGCCTCATGAACGAATCTCTAATGGTAGCCAGATGGCTTGCAAAGAACTCTGTCTTGGAGAAGTCAATGTCATGTGAACCTACTGAATTATAACAGTGATCTGCCATGGCCGAGGTGTTGGTCCTACCGTGTTTCAGGTCTGCTTTGTGTTCACAAATGCAGTCCGAGACATGTCGTTTGGTTTCTCCAATGTAACTACTACCACAGAGACAACTTAGTTTGTAGACGCCAGGGTACTGTATGTCCAAAATCACATATTTTACAGACAGAACCAGATCACGGATTTTATGTAATGTGTTGAATCGGACCTGGATCTTGTGTTTATTCAAGATTTTGGAGATCTTTTTTGTGATCCCCGCAATGTAGGGTAAAGTGATAGTTTTGAAAGGCTCCTCAAGAGGGTCCTTCTTCATGGTTGGAGTGATAGCTTTGCGGATTGTGTAGTCGGAATAACCATTAGCCTTAAGAGCTTGGTATACGTGCTTGAGTTCACTGGCTATGTGTTCCTGGTCGGATATGCATTGGGCTCTATGGTGCAGAGTCTTTATGAGGGAATTCTTCTGGGATGGATGGTGGTGGGAATCCGGTTTCAGATAAGCATCCGTATGGGTAGCTTTCCTGTAGATAGTGGCTCATTGAACCATCAGGTCTCTTTTTTATTAGGACATCCAAAAAAGGTAGCTTGCCATCTTTTTCGACTTCCATGGTAAATCTGATAGCTGGGTGTATGGAATTGATATGGTCGAAGAATTGGTCCAGAGCAGGCCGGCCATGTGGCCAAATGACAAAAGTGTTATCCACGTACCTCTTCCATAAGGTTGGGTGCAGAGTAGCAGTCTGGATGGCGTCAGTCTCAAATTTCTCCATGAAAATGTTGGCTACAACCGGAGATAGGGGGGAGCCCATTGGCCTGCTCTAGACCAATTCCTCGACCACTTCCATTCCATACACCCAGCCATCAGATTTACCATAGAAGTCGAAAAAGATGGCAAGCTACCTTTTTTGGATGTCCCAATAAAAAAGAGACCTGATGGTTCAATGAGCCACTGTATACAGGAAAGCTACCCATATGGATGCTTATCTGAAACCGGATTCCCACCACCATCCATCCCAGAAGAATTCCTTCATCAAGACTCAGCACCATAGAGCCCAATGCATATCCGACCAGGAACACATAGCCAGTGAACTCAAGCACGTACACCAATCTCTTAAGGCTAATGGTTATTCCGACTACACAATTCGCAAAGCTATCACTCCAACCATGAAGAAGGACCCTCTTGAGGAGCCATTCAAAACCATCACTTTACCCTACATTGCGGGGATCACAAAAAAGATCTCCAAAATCTTGAATAAACACAAGATCCAGGTCCGATTCAACACATTACATAAAAACCGTGATCTGGTTCCGTCTGTAAAAGATGTGATTCCGGACATACAGTACCCTGGCGTCTACAAACTAAGTTGTCTCTGTGGTAGTAGTTACATTGGAGAAACCAAACGACATGTCTCGGACTGCATTTGTTAACACAAAGCAGACCTGAAACACGGTAGGACCAACACCTCGGCCGTGGCAGATCACTGTTATAATTCAGTAGGTTCACATGACATTGACTTCTCCAAGACAGAGGTTCTTTGCAAGCCATCTGGCTACCATGAGAGATTCGTTCATGAGGCTATCCACATATACAAACACAGAGACAAATTCAACCGAGAAGATGGATTCTGGCTTAGCAATCATTGGATGGATTTGATCAACCATTTTGGGTCTTAATTGATTGATCACGCCTAAGGTGGCTTTCAGACCACATCCATTATTTTTCGTCTCCCCCCTCCTCTTTTCCGAACATAGATGGACTCGTCCATCTGACCAAACTGTCAAATCGCTATCCGTGGTGCTAACGTTAAAAAACCGCCACTTTTTTCAAATTTTCTTGTTGTGGTTTTCACACCTGATGATGATTGTGTTGCAGTCGAAACGTCGTGAGAATTTTATTGTTTTATATTTGTATTATTTTATTGTTTCCCTTCTACGTGACTTTACCGAAAGAACCAATAATATGAATCTCTGCAGTCACGAAAGCTTTAAATAAAAAAAGGCAACTTAGATTAAGGCCATCAGTCTAACTCCATACTACAACAAACAAACATGGTCAAACCAAAAAACTTTTCGAAATCACCAAAATAAAGCCATAAAAGCAATGTAACAGTGATCATAGGAACTGTGACCTGTGACCGAATTTTCACAAGGGGCGTGGCTGAAGGCGGGGCGGAGGCGTGGCCAGGGGATAAAGGGGGAGCACCGAGGGGATTCAGGGCTCGTTTCAGGGATCAAGCTAGCTAACAGACACGCGCATAGTGAGCAGCCTAGGACAAGGTAGCCACACTTAACAACAGAATCCGGAATTCAGCGAAAACGCGTTGCCTCCTGCAACAGTGTGTGTGCGCCTCAGTCGACATACACTACACTGGTGTCAGAAGTGGTTTGTTAGGTGTAGCTAGCTTATGTAAAGACTTAGCAATTATGCTCACTAGGCGACGAGCGCCCACTCAGTTGTCTTCGGACGACGACAAAGAAGGCAAGTTGATCCCGCAAGCGGCCCCGGGTGCTGAAGCCCCGGTGATGGAGGGCAGCTGCAGCGTCGGCATCTCGTAAGCTAGCTACACCTAACGAACCACTTGTGACACCAGTGTAGCGTATGTCGACTGAGGCGCACACACACTGTTGTAGGAGGCAACGCGTGGGAAACAGGTGTGGTGCGGGACGTGAGGGAGCCTGTCAATTCCCCTGACGCCCGCGCTGCTTTCGCCGTTGCCCCGCGAGCATGGGACGACTGCGGGATGCCACAAACCGCAGGAGCGCGCGGCGCGCCAGAGCCCGCCAAAATTTTAAAACAGCGGCAAGACGCGCCCACCAATGCCATCCTCCCGCCGACGCCACTGGCTCCTGCCCGCAGACTAAAGAAGCGCCTTCCTTTTGACCGGGAATTCAAGGCAGCGGGTGGCAACTGGATGACATTCCAATGCCGCTTTGTCACCGCCTGCAGCCTTGCGGAATGGACAGAAGAGGCGGGCGCTGCGAGCGCTACCTACGGCGCTCGACGACGATGCGTTGGTGGCCCTCGACGCCATTCCCGACAACAGAAGACAACGCGACCGCAAGCCCTGGTGCAAATGGGGGCGATTTTTGCTCCAGCGTCCGCCAAGCACCACAAGTTCTCCACGCGGAAAAGGGGGGAAGCAGAGACACCCCTTGCTTATCATGCCTCTCTTCTGGCATCTGCCAAGACAGCCTTCCCCCAGGATGGACCAGGTGGGGAGAATCTCCCTGGTCCTGGAAAAGCTGCTGTCGTGGACCGAGGACCTCCAGGTCATTAGACCGGCCACAAAAGATGACAACATCACCTGGCTCAAGGTCGCCCGCTGTCTGGAGGCTCACCTCCATATCCGGCGATGAGGCGGGGTGGTTGTGGGTACTGCACCCCCAGCGGAGGAGGGAGCAACCACCGATGGACCACATCTACAGGTGGGGGTTGAGTCCTGCAGCACCGTGGAGGGATCCTGGGGAGGACCGTCGGGGCGGGCGAGATGGGCCGGCGAGGGTTTCCCCTCGTCAGAGGGACGGGCCCGTCATCTGTTTCAAGTGCGGCCTGCCCGGGCACATCTCCATGGAGTGCCACACGTGATAAGGAGGATCCTCCTCATCGATACCGGCTGCCGACCGTCGCTCCTTCTCTTCACCAGGCCCTAAGGCGAGTCGCGGTACACTACACACACAACCCCCTCACTCACCTCACTCATCAGGGTCGCGGGTTGCGCGCTTGTGGAGAGGGGGCGTCGCGTTATGTACCTCGGCTTTCAGATCCGGAGTCGTGGGTCGCGGGATTACAACGAGGTGGATCGCGTCCCAATCAAGGGTTGGTGGGCGAGGGGTGGCCCAAACGCCCCGCGCAGTTGATGGCCCTGGGCCGCCGTATTGTGGTGGC